CTATGGTGTACCCAGGTAGACTGTGGTGTACCCAGGTAGACTGTGGTGTACCCAGGTAGACTGTGGTGTACCCAGGTAGACTGTGGTGTACCCAGGTAGACTGTGGTGTACCCAGGTAGACTGTGGTGTACCCAGGTAGACTGTGGTGTACCCAGGTAGACTGTGGTGTACCCATGTAGACTGTGGTGTACCCAGGTAGACTGTGGTGTACCCAGGTAGACTGTGGTGTACCCATGTAGACTGTGGTGTACCCAGGTAGACTGTGGTGTACCCAGGTAGACTGTGGTGTACCCAGGTAGACTGTGGTGTACCCAGGTAGACTGTGGTGTACCCAGGTAGACTGTGGTGTACCCAGGTAGACTGTGGTGTGCCCAGGTAGACTGTGGTGTACCCAGGTAGACTGTGGTGTGCCCAGGTAGACTGTGGTGTACCCAGGTAGACTGTGGTGTACCCACGTAGACTGTGGTGTGCCTAGGTAGACTGTGGTGTACCCAGGTAGACTGTGGTGTACCCAGGTAGACTGTGGTGTACCCAGGTAGACTGTGGTGTACCCAGGTAGACTGTGGTGTACCCAGGTAACCGTGGTGTACCCAGATAGACTGTGGTGTACCCAGGTAGACTATGGTGTACCCAGGTAGACTATGGTGTACCCAGGTAGACTGTGGTGTACCCAGGTAGACTGTGGTGTACCCAGGTAGACTGTGGTGTACCCAGGTAGACTATGGTGTACCCAGGTAGACTGTGGTGTACCCAGGTAGACTGTGGTGTACCCAGGTAGACTGTGGTGTACCCAGGTAGACTGTGGTGTACCCAGGTAGACTGTGGTGTACCCAGGTAGACTGTGGTGTACCCAGGTAGACTGTGGTGTACCCAGGTAGACTGTGGTGTACCCAGGTAGACTGTGGTGTACGCAGGTAGACTGTGGTGTACCCAGGTAGACTGTGGTGTACCCAGGTAGACTGTGGTGTACCAAGGTAGACTGTGTGTACCCAGGTAGACTGTGGTGTACCCAGGTAGACTGTGTGTACCCAGGTAGACTGTGGTGTACCCAGGTAGACTTTGGTGTATCCAGGTAGACTGTGGTGTACCCAGGTAGACTGTGGTGTACCCAGGTAGACTGTGGTGTACCCAGGTAGACTGTGGTGTACCCAGGTAGACTGTGATGTACCCAGGTAGACTGTGGTGTACCCAGGTAGACTGTGGTGTACCAGGTAGACTGTGGTGTACCCAGGTAGACTGGTGGTTGTTACCCAGGTAGACTGTGGTGTACCCAGGTAGACTGTGGTGTACCCAGGTAGACTGTGGTGTACCCAGTAGACTGTGGTGTACCCAGGTAGACTGTGGTGTACCCAGGTAGACTGTGGTGTACCCAGGTAGACTGTGGTGTACCCAGGTAGACTGTGGTGTACCCAGGTAGACTGTGGTGTACCAGGTAGTCTGTGGTGTACCCAGGTAGACTGTGGTGTACCCAGGTAGACTGTGGTGTACCCAGGTAGACTGTGGTGTACCCAGGTAGACTGTGGTGTACCAGGTAGACTATGGTGTACCCAGTAGACTATGGTGTACCCAGGTAGACTATGGTGTACCCAGGTAGACTGTGGTGTACCCAGGTAGACTGTGGTGTACCCAGGTAGACTATGGTGTACCCAGGTAGACTGTGGTGTACCCAGTAGACTGTGGTTTACCCAGGTAGACTGTGGTGTACCCAGGTAGACTGTGGTGTACCCAGGTAGACTGTGGTGTACCCAGGTAGACTGTGGTGTACCCAGGTAGACTGTGGTGTACCCAGGTAGACTGTGGTGTACCCAGGTAGACTGTGGTGTACCCAGGTAGACTGTGGTGTACCCAGGTAGACTGTGGTGTACCCAGGTAGACTATGGTGTACCCAGGTAGACTGTGGTGTACCCAGGTAGACTGTGGTGTACCCAGGTAGACTGTGGTGTACCTCGGTAGACTGTGGTGTACCCAGGTAGACTGTGGTGTACCCAGGTAGACTGTGGTGTACCCAGGTAGACTGTGGTGTACCCAGGTAGACTGTGGTGTACCCAGGTAGACTATGGTGTACCCAGGTAGACTGTGGTGTACCCAGGTAGACTGTGGTGTACCCAGGTAGACTATGGTGTACCCAGGTAGACTATGGTGTACCCAGGTAGACTGTGGTGTACCCAGGTAGACTGTGGTGTTGAATAACTCAGTTATTGTTCCTCGATAGATCAAATATTTTTACTAAATTAATAAACTGTATAATAAAAATGATGAGAATCGATTCGATAATCGTATGGAATTTTGTCTTCCCTTTAATTATATATTTGTGGTAATAATGAAGGGATAATTAACTTTAAGGCCTATTAACTACACGAGGGTCATTAAGGCCGTCTTACCTAGGGTCCTATGGGTTTTTGTTTTTTTAATTTCTACCTTAGGCTACGAATTTTTTTCTTTATATATGCCCAAGATTGCTAGAAGTTGATATAAAATTAATCTCATTTAGCCTACGCAGAATTAACCTAAATCTGTTGATATCAAGAGTGAGGGACTGATTACGTCGACTCCAGGCTGAGGGACTGATTACGTCGACTCCAGGCTGAGGGACTGATTACGTCGCCTCCAGGCTGAGGGACTGATTACGTCGACTCCAGGCTGAGGGACTGATTACATCGACTCAGGGCTGAGGGACTGAATACGTCGCCTCCAGGCTGAGGGACTGATTAGATCGACTCCAGGCTGAGGGACTGATTACATCGACTCAGGGCTGAGGGACTGAATACGTCGCCTCCAGGCTGAGGGACTGATTACATCGACTCCAGGCTGAGGGACTGATTACTTCGACTCAGGGCTGAGGGACTGATTACATCGACTCAGGGCTGAGGGACTGAATACGTCGCCTCCAGGCTGAGGGACTGATTACATCGACTCCAGGCTGAGGGACTGATTACATCGACTCAGGGCTGAGGGACTGATTACATCGACTCTTTACTTTCATTCAATACACTTAACTTCACATTCTTGTGTTTTGTAAGTTATTAATCAGAGAATATTTATTTTCCAGCCTAGGAGGCCTAGTCTGAGACCTGACCACAGGGACGATAATCTCAGGAAACATTATGATTATAATCATTAATGGTTATAATCATAAGCTAATTGTTATAATCATAAGCCTAATGGTTTTAATTATAACCATAAGCCAGTGGAAGGCCTCGGTCAGATGACCAAAAGCTCCAGCTGTGGGTCATCATATAACTAAGACCCGCGTCAGGAAATACTTGTCCTGTTTCCTGACAAACATTACTTAACCTAACCATTAACAGGGAAAATATTAATTTATAAAGTGTATAATGTGTGTTGTGCTGGGAAAACTTGGCAAATTCTAATGATGTACTTGGCATCGCCAGACTGTAAGTCCCTCCTGACCACATTCCTCACTAAAGATTTGATAGTCTTACATCACATTAGATACATCAGTAATGTACCGCTAACATAGTGGCAACAAAAAAAATCCCCTATCATATTCCATCACACAGGATGTTTTTCATACACAGTGTTGAACTGTATCAGCCTGAGTTGGGAGAATCAGTAGGGTGATGAGGACATTGTTCAGTATTACAGTAAGGACTCGGCAGCTGAAACATCTACCTGTAAGAGTTTCATTCCAGCAGAACTGGAATTATGTACTATTACCTAGGGATTACCATGTCTAAGGATGGCCTCTCTCACAAACACGGGAGAAATGAAATTTTAATGGGGATACCTCCATATTTCTGCACAACAAAAGTTATATATAGGCGAGACAAGAAACATGTAGGAAATAATTTCCCAAAATTATGCTGTATATTTTTATAGTGTAAATAAACCTGAATAATACGTTACTATTGTTCTGTTGAGTCCATTTTAAATAAGAGAATCGACAGGGAAGTTCTGTACTGACGAACAGGGGGAGTCGCCATTGTTTTTTGAATGTGGTACAGACACTCTAATGAAATGTGCTTAATTTTCGTCGCTCTAGGGGTTGTATTGGGCTTAAAACCTCTCAGATAGGAGCCGAAATTGTTGGATGTGCAGTTCTGCATAATTTGAGCATTAAACAGATGGACAGGACAGCTCCAGGAACTTCAGATAAGCTATCTAAATTATATTTGTAATTCTGCCCAGTGCTGTATAGCCCTTGTGGCTTAGCGCTTCTTTTTGATAATAATAATAATAATAATAATAATAATAATAATAATAATAATAATTCTGGCCAGTATTATCATCATAAATTTGGGTAGGGGGGGGGGTTCTGTACATGACACAATAATCTCCAGACTAATTGGTGTGTGTTATGATTATAAATTCTCCTTCTGTCATATAAACGTGTATATGTAATCATTTATTAATTTTAATATACAGTCCACAAATTTATATTAAATTTTACCAGAATTCCTGGTGTGTATGTACATTTCATTTGCAATTAATATAGGTCTAGAGTAACTTGTGGAGAGATGTATTATGATAGGTATCGAAGGGGGACATTTTTTGCGACCTAGATGTCCTAAAAAATCCTACTTGTCTCTGTAACTTTGATAAATAATAATTATCTTTGTTACCATTTACTTGTATGTATCTAATGAGATTCATCCAGGTAAATGTAATTTTCCACAAAAGAAATAGGATGGGGTTTGTCATCACAAATTTGTTAAGTTATACCATAAATTAAGGAAAGATCCTGGACTTCACCTTCCGAAACAGACAAAGGAAATGCCGTAGTAATTCTGTACAAGGTAGATTATAGTGGAAAAATGAACATATTAGAAGACACGGAAATTGAAGTGTCTCTTAAGTTCCTCAAGTCGGTTCCTGATGAGCAGGACTGTGGTGGCTAAGTGGAACTGCCTGCTGCCCAACGTAGGCACCACAGCCTTATTGATCAAGCCATCAACCTGAAGGCCTGGTCTGGGACCGGGCTGCAAGGCCAACATCCCCTAGAATTGTCTACAGGTACCAAATGAGTCACGTGTACTCACCTATACTGCCGTTTAAGCTATTGCTGTTGACAGGGCTGTTAACCCCGTTGAGACCATTGCTGAAGCTTCCGTTGATGCTGTTGATGGTACCTGTGAGGGAGTTGAGGGCAGAGATGTCATTAGGGGTGAGTCCGGCCAACCCGTTGAGGAGACCACCGCCCCCACCACCCAACAGAGAGCTGAGGCCGCCCATACTTCCACCCATATTGCCACCCATCATGCCCAGACTGCTCCCGGCAAGCGAGCCAAGAGAAGAGGGCGGTATTGAGCTTATGCCGCCCACGCCAGACCCGCTGCCCATGCTCGAACTGCCGCCCACACCTGTGCTGCCCATCCCTAGGGCGTTCCACCCGCTTGGTATCATCTTGTTCTGTGGAAGACAGAAAATGTTATGCTGACCATAAAGGTGAGGTCACCGTCAAACTACTGGAGGAACTCCACCAGTACACTGTCAGCATACTGGAGGAACTCCACCAGTACACTGTCAGCATACTGGAGGAACTCCACCAGTACACTGTCAGCATACTGGAGGAACTCCACCAGTACACTGTCAGCATACTGGAGGAACTCCACCAGTAACACTGTCAGCATACTGGAGGAACTCCACCAGTACACTGTCAGCATACTGGAGGAACTCCACCAGTACACTGTCAGCATACTGGAGGAACTCCACCAGTACACTGTCAGCATACTGGAGGAACTCCACCAGTACACTGTCAGCATACTGGAGGAACTCCACCAGTACACTGTCAGCATACTGGAGGAACTCCACCAGTACACTGTCAGCATACTGGAGGAACTCCACCAGTACACTGTCAGCATACTGGAGGAACTCCACCAGTACACTGTCAGCATACTGGAGGAACTCCACCAGTACACTGTCAGCATACTGGAGGAACTCCACCAGTACACTGTCAGCATACTGGAGGAACTCCACCAGTACACTGTCAGCATACTGGAGGAACTCCACCAGTACACTGTCAGCATACTGGAGGAAGTACACCAGTACACTGTCAGCATACTTGAGGAACTACACCAGTACACTGTCAGCATACTGGAGGAACTCCACCAGTACACTGTCAGCATACTGGAGGAACTCCACCAGTACACTGTCAGCATACTGGAGGAACTCCACCAGTACACTGTCAGCATACTGGACGAACTACACCAGTACACTGTCAGCATACTGGAGGAAGTACACCAGTACACTGTCAGCATACTGGAGGAAGTACACCAGTACACTGTCAGCATACTGGAGGAAGTACACCAGTACACTGTCAGCATACTGGAGGAACTCCACCAGTACACTGTCAGCATACTGGAGGAACTCCACCAGTACACTGTCAGCATACTGGAGGAAGTACACCAGTACACTGTCAGCATACTGGAGGAACTACACCAGTACACTGTCAGCATACTGGAGGAACTACACCAGTACACTGTCAGCATACTGGAGGAAGTACACCAGTACACTGTCAGCATACTGGAGGAACTCCACCAGTACACTGTCAGCATACTGGAGGAACTACACCAGTACACTGTCAGCATACTGGAGGAACTACACCAGTACACTGTCAGCATACTGGAGGAAGTACACCAGTACACTGTCAGCATACTGGAGGAAGTACACCAGTACACTGTCATCATCCTGGTATATATATATAATATAATTATATATATATATATATATATATATATATATATATATATATATATATATATATATATATATATATATATATATATATATATATATATATATATATATATATAGATAACCTTGTGAGGACTCGGACTAATCTATAAATATGTATCTGTAAATAAGTCCAGTCTGTTTTATTATCTGCATTACACACACAAGACGGAAGTTATTATGTTTTGGTCCAACTTGAGATTCAGATAATTTATCTCCACACTCGGTGGCCTGGTGGCTCAAGTTCCCGCTGCACACACGGAGGGCCCGGGTTCGAGTCCCGGCGGGTGGAAACATTTCGACACGTTTCCTTACACCTGTTGTCCTGTTCACCTAGCAGCAAGTAGGTACCTGGGTGTTAGTCGACTGGTGTGGGTCGCATCCTGGGGGACAAGATTGAAGACCACAATGGAAATAAGTTAGACAGTCCTCGATGACGCACTGACTTTCTTGGGTTATCTTGGGTGGCTAACCCTCCGGGGTTAAAAATCCGAACGAAATCTTATCTTACTCGAAGGTTGTACAGAGATGAGTGACACTGAGGTGCATGACACCCCTTAGTATGCGAAGCATTTCAGGCCATTAACTAGTCACTGACTAGTCGTGGAGCATTAGTCACTGACTAGTCGTGGAGCATTAGTCACTGACTAGTCGTGGAGCATTAGTCACTAACTAGTCGTGGAACATTACCTACTGACTGACTAGTCGTGGAGCATTAGTTACTGACTAGTCGTGGAGCATTACCTCCTGACTGACAAGTCGTGGAGCATTACCTCCTGACTGACTAGTCGTGGAGCATTAGTCACTGACTAGTCGTGGAGCATTAGTCACTGACTAGTCGTGGAGCATTACCTCCTGACTGACTAGTAGTGGAGCATTAGTCACTGACTAGTCGTGGAGCATTACCTCCTGACTGACTAGTCGTGGAGCATTAGTCACTGACTAGTCGTGGAGCATTAGTCACTGACTAGTGGATAAATAAGTCACTTTGTCTGACCCTTTATGGGATTATCCCAGATAATTTACACGGATGTTACTGTGTATGATAATTTACACGTCTACCTGGAGGTTATTCCGAGGATCAGCGCCCCCGCGGCCCGGTCCACGACCAGGCCTCCCGGTGGATCAGGGCCTGATCACCCAGGCTGTTACTGCTTGCCGCACGTAGTCCAACGTATGAACCACAGCCCGGCTGATCCGGCACTGAGTTTAGTTATCTGTCCAGCTCCCTCTTGAAGGCAGCCAGGGGCCTATTGGTAATTCCCCTTATGCTTGGTGGGAGGCTGTTGAACAGTCTTGGGCCCCGGACACTTGTGGTGTTTTCTCTTAGTGTGCCAATGGCGCCCTTACTTTTAATTGGGGATATTTTGCATCGCCTGCCCAGTCTTTTACTTTCGTAGGGAGTGATTTATGTGCGCAGCTTCGGGACCATGTATGTTACTGTGTATGATAATTTACACGTATGTTACTGTGTATGATAATCGTACTTATGTGTACATGTGCCTAAATATTTAGAAAATCCCTGATCATCCTACCTGGCAGTTCCTGATCAGCCGGGCTGTGGCTCGTACGTTGGTTTGCGTGCAGCCAGCAGCAACAGCCTGGTTGATCAGGCGCTGATCCACCAGGAGGCCTGGTCACAGACCGGGCCGCGGGGGCGTTGACCCCCGAAACTCTCTCCAGGTAAACTCCAGGTAAACTCCAGGCCAGACTAAGAGGCAGTTAACAGACGGAGGATCGAGCCTTCATCGCTCGTTACACTGAATAACACACTGGTTTAGCTCTTCGCATATATATATATATATATAATATTGTGTTTAAAGATACGTTTTTTAGGTTTCTCTCTTAATAACACCCAAATATAGTATTTGTAAGATTTAAGGAGTATTATGTGTGAAAATGTGTAAGAGAATGTATGAATGAGTATAGTTAATTTATATACCCCAGTGTATATGTTTATATACACCCGGAGCTGTATATTTTTCAGCTTACATACACGCAGAGGTGTATATCTCTACACATACCAGAGGTGTATCTCTCTATACATATCAGAGGTGTATATCTACACATACCAGAGGTGTATATCTCTACACATACCAGAGGTGTATATCTCTACACATACCAGAAGTGTATCTCTCTACACATACCAGAGGTGTATATCTCTACACATACCAGAGGTGTATATCTACACATACCAGAGGTGTATATCTACACATACCAGAAGTGTATCTCTCTACACATACCAGAGGTGTATATCTCTACACATACCAGAGGTGTATATCTCTACACATACCAGAGGTGTATATCTCTACACATATCAGAGGTGTATATCTACACATACCAGAGGTGTATATCTACACATACCAGAGGTGTATATCTCTACACATACCAGAAGTGTATCTCTCTACACATATCAGAGGTGTATATCTCTACACATACCAGAGGTGTATATCTACACATACCAGAGGTGTATATCTACACATACCAGAGGTGTATATCTACACATACCAGAGGTGTATATCTACACATACCAGAGGTATATATCTACACATACCAGAGGTGTATATCTCTGGGCTCGTGGTAAATAAGACACACTTGCAATACTAGTATATGGCAGAAGCGTATCGCCTGTACAGCAGTTGCCTCATGACTCACGAAATCGTAAATAACAAGAGTGAACACAAACCACGGAACGGGTGAGGTTTGAATACAGTGGTAAGTCAGTCCTAACACTGGCCTGGAGTTTTAGGATTTACTTACCATGGGTTTAAACAACCACCCATTCCGTACTTGTTTCAGGCGTCTTCTGTTAAATACTGATGGATACAACGGTGGAAGCCAGAGCAGTTTGAAGTGATCAGTCCCTTACCCTTGTAATAATAATAATAATAATATTAATAATAATAATAATAATAATAATAATAATAATAATAATAATATCTTTATTTCAACAAGTACATGTACAAGGTATATAGACCACAGTTGACATCAATAACATACTACTATATAGAAAGCCGCTTGTTATGCTGAGCATTTCCCGCAAATTAGGTCAGTTTTGTCCCAGGATGCGACCCACACCAGTCCACTAATACCCAGATAAGAAGTTTATTGATGGGTGAACATAGACAACAGGTGTAAAGAAACACGTCCAATATTTCTACCCTCGCTAGGAATCGAACCAAGACCCTCGCCGTGTGAAGCGAGAGCTTTAGCCAGGAGGCCACGGGCATATCCAGGTGTATATCTGTCAATATATATGCACCAAGGGGATGCATATATCTCAGTATGCAATAAAATCACAGTGAACAGTGATTTCACAGTATGAACAACTAGCAAAGTGAAAAATAATAATTAAATTTCCTATTTCTTTCGCGATTTCTCACAGTTGTTCGATAATGTGAGAAATAAAGGCGCTTGCAAGTTTACTGTTTTTTCACGGTGGCTGTTGTGCACGTCTCAGTATACATGTATGCATCTCAGTATATATATGTCAGTATACAGAGAGTGAGGTTGAGCATATGTCTGTCTTTATTACTGTACAATGTAGTGAAAATAAGTCACTTTGAGCTTTTTTGGGTTATCCTGGTGGGTAATTTACACATATATTATGTAAGATAATTGTATTTATGTGTAGCTGTTCGTAAATAAACTTAGACCTCTGTGCTTGTCTATATATATTGCTCATGTACTGACAATTATTTAACCTTAGCCTGGTGGGTAAAGCTCCCGCTTCACACACGGAGGGCCCGGGTTCGATTCCCGGAGGGTGGAAACATTTCGACACGTTTCCTTACATCTGTTGTCCTGTTCACCTAACAGCAAATAGGTACCTGGGTGTTAGTCGACTGGTGTGGGTCGCATCCTGGGGGACAAGATTAAGGACCCAATGGAAATAAGTTAGACAGTCCTCGATGACGCACTGACTTTCTTGGGTTATCCTGGGTGGCTAACCCTCCGGGGTTAAAAATCCGAACGAAATCTTATCTTATCTTATCTTACTGTTGTCTGATACGGTTTAATAACTCCGTGTCCTCTTAAAACTCGGGAAAATATTAATCAGCAAGGGTCTGCTAGAGCAGCAGACAGGGTATCCATCCTTCACTCCTTGGCGGCGCTGAACCCACACGGGTTTAGCACCTCACGAAATGCAAGAAATGAAGACACTCGACACCAGTACAGATTATTATTATTATTATAATCAAGGGGGAAGCGCTAAACCCGGAGGATTATACAGCGCCTGGGGGGGGGGGGGATGTGGAAGGCATTCAGGCTTAATTCGGGGAACTGGAGCACAGATCCAATTCCCTAAATCAAGAGCCCCTTACCAACATCAAGGAACCTTCCTTGAGGGGAGACCAGTAGAGAGGCTGAGGAGCACCAGACATGCTGTGAGAGAAGGTTGAATCTTTCCTAGCTTGTGTGATCTTGTTCACCTCGCCATGGGTTTATCAAGCATCTCTTCCTTGGATAATTACCTTTATTTAGGCACAGGTGCACATAATTACAATTATCATAGTTTAAATTATCCAGGATAACCCCAAAAAAAGTCACTTATTTCCACTGGAATCCTGTCATTTCAAAGGGCTTGACGCTCTTCCCCACGAATATAATAATAATAATTAATAATAATAATATTGTTGGCACAAATAGGTCCATGGATGCAGTAGTGTTTGCTTAAGAAAGAGGACATTGCAGTAAACCGGTTGGTTCATACTAGGATTATGATGACACACAACAATGTCAAGTCATCCCAGGTAATTTACATTGTGTATGATGATTGTACTCGTGTGTAGCTGCACCTAAATAACCTTACTTAACTCTGGGTTACAAAGATGCAGAACGTACAAGAACATAGATGAGAACACTGAACAACGTCTGTTTTCCTGTTATTCCATCACATAAGACGGGTTTCATGAATTACTTAATGAAATTTTTCAGGTTGGACAGTTTTGAGTCAGGGTTGATAAGGGAGCCATAACTGTTTTGATCCTGGTGGGCAATTTATACCATATATAATTGTATTTATATGTACCTATATCTAAATAAACTTAGTAACATGAGACAGTAGGTTATCACAGTAATTCTTAATGTTATTGTCTGGTAGTGGAGGTGTGTGAGAGGTCGTCGGCTCTTATGGTTATTTTAAATATAGTTTAACTTGTGCAAGGAAACTAAAAAGCAAGTGTTGGGCCAGACATGAGGGGTGTCACACCTTGCCTGTCTGCTTGTCTGCCTGCCTGTCTGCTTGTTTGCCTGCCTGTCTGCTTGTCTGCCTGCCTGTCTGCTTGTCTGCCTGCCTGTCTGCTTGTCTGCCTGCCTGTCTGCTTGTCTGCTTGCCTGTCTGCTTGTCTGTCTGCCTGCCTGTCTCCTTGTCCGTCTGCCTGCCTGTCTGTCTCCCTGTCTGCCTGCCCGCCTGCAGAGCCGGATTAAGATTTTGTAGACCCCTGGGCTACAAGTACCGTGAAGCCCCTGGGCTACAGGTACTGTGAAGCCCCTGGGCTACAAGTACTGTGAAGCCCCTGGGCTAGGTACTGTGAGGCCCCTGGGCTACAGGCACTGTGAGGTCCCTGGGCTACAGGTAATGTGAAGCTCCTGGGCTGCTGCACCTGGAGGCTCTCCAGCTGGTGGAGGCCTCTGGGCTGCTGCACCTGGAGGCCCTCCAGCTGGTGGAGGCCTCTGGGCTGCTGCACCTGGAGGCTCTCCAGCTGGTGGAGTCCTTTGGGCTTCAGCACCTAAAGTCCAAGCCTTACTCCAGCCCTGCCTCCCTCCCTGCCTGCCAGTCTGCCCTGGCCACAGCTGGTGGAGTCATCATGAAGGATGCAGCTCACACCAGCTGCACCATAATCAACTATGCATTAATAGTATTGTCTTCCTTCACATCAGCCTAATCACCAAACAGTTTCATTTTTTATAAGTACGTTTATTTAGGCACAGGTACATATAAGTACACTTACCATACATAGTGTAACTTACCCACTAAGATAACCCCAAAAAAGTCTGACGAAGTGACTTATTTCCATTGTGGTCCTTGACGAGGTTAATGCTATTGTTTTATAATGATTCATAGATTGTCATTGTATTCCGGGAGAAGCGCTAAACTCGTAGAAGTGTCCCGTGGCCTGGTAGGCAACGCTCTCGCTTCACACGGTGTCCGTGGTTCGATCCCCGGCAAGGATGGAAACACTGGGCGTGTCACCTTATACTTGCTGTCCCTGTTCACCTAACAGTAAGTAGGTACCTGGGTGTTAGTCACCTTACACTTGCTGTCTCTGTTCACCTAACAGTAAGTAGGTACCTGGGTGTTAGTCACCTTACACCTGCTGTCATTATTCATCTAGCAGTAAGTAGGTACCTGGGTGTTAGTCACCTTACACCTGCTGTCATTATTCATCTAGCAGTAAGTAGGTACCTGAGTGTTAGTCGCCTTACACCTGCCATCATTGTTCATCTAGCAGTAAGTAGGTACCTGGGTGTTAGTCACCTTACACCTGCTGTCACTGTTCACTTAGCAGTAAGTAGGTACCTGGGTGTTAGTCACCTTACACTTGCTGTCCCTGTTCACCTAACAGTAAGTAGGTACCTGGGTGTTAGTCACCTTACACCTGCTATCATTGTTCATCTAGCAGTAAGTAGGTACCTGGGTGTTAGTCACCTTACACCTGCTGTCATTGTTCATCTAGCAGTAAGTAGGTACCTGGGTGTTAGTCACCTTACACCTGCTATCATTGTTCATCTAGCAGTAATAGTACCTGGATGTTAGTACTTACACGCTATCATTGTTCATCTAGCAGTAAGAGGTACCGATGTTAGTCACCTACACCTGTCTTTTCATTAGCGTAGTAGTACCTGGTGTTGTCACCTACACCTGCTGTCATTGTTCATTAGCAGTAGAGGTACCTGGTTAGTCACTTACACCTGCGTCATTGTTCATCTAGCAGTAAGTAGGTACTGGGTGTTAGTCACCTTACACTGCTATCATTGTCATTGCAGTAGTAGGTACCGGGTGTTAGTACCTTACCTGCATCCCGTTATCTAGCAGTAAGTAGGTACTGGGTGTTGTCACCTAACTGCTGGTCATTGTTCATCTAGCAGTAAGTAGGTACCTGGGTGTGTAGTCACCTTACACTGCTATCATTGTCATCTAGCAGTAGGGTCCTGGGTGTGTCACTACACCTGCTATCATGTCATTAGCAGTAAGTAGGTACTGGGTGTATCACCTTAACTGTGTCATTGTATTGCAGTAGTAGGTACCGGGTGTTAGTCCCTTACCCTGCTATCATTGTTCATCTAGCGTAGTAGGTACCTGGGTGTTAGTCACTTAACTGCTGTCTGTCATCTGCGAATAGGTCCTGGTGTTAGTCCCTACACCTGCTTCATTGTCATCTAGCAGTAAGTGGTATGGGTGTTAGTCACCTACACTGCTATCATTGTTATTAGCAGTAGTAGGTACTGAGTTTAGTCACCTTACCTGCTATCATTGTTCATCTAGCAGTAAGTAGTACTAGTGTTATGTCACCTACCTGCTATCATTGTTCACTAGCATAAGTAGGTACGGGTGTTAGTCACTTACACTCACATTGTTACTAGCAGTAAGTAGGTTACTGGTGTTAGTCACCTTACACTCTATCATTGTTATTGGAAAGTAGGTAACTGAGTGTTAGTCACCTTACACTGTATCATGTTCATCTAGCAGTAAGTAGGTACTGGTTGTACCTTACAGCTGCTGTCATTGTTCATCATGCGTAAGAGGTACCTGGGTGTTAGTACCTTACACCTGGCTGTCTTGTTCATCTAGCGTAAGTAGTACTGGGTGTTAGTCACTTACAACTGCTGTATTGTTACTTAGCAGTAAGTACGGTACCTGGGGTGTTTAGTTTCCTTAGGTGAGGTATGTAACCCATCTATGATTCACTATTATTGCGGTTGCAGGGGTCGATTCATAGCCCATGGCCACTGCCTCTTCAATGTGTTGTGTGGTACTCACCTAATTGTGGTTGCAGGGGTCGATTCATAGCTCCTGGCCCTGCCTCTTCAAGTGTGTGTGTGTGTGCTCACCTAATTGTGGTTGCAGGGGTCGATTCATAGCTCCTGGCCCCGCCTCTTCAATGGTGTATGTGTGTACTCACCTAATTGTGGTTGCAGGGGTCGATTCATATCTCCTGGCCCCGCCTCTTCAATGGTGTGTGTGTGTGTGTACTCACCTAATTGTGGTTGCAAAATGTCGAATCATAGCTCCTGGCCCAGCCTCTTCACTGGTGTGTGTGTGTGTACTCTCTTATTTGTGGTTGCAGGAGTCGAGTTACAGCTCCTGGTTTCGTGTGTGTGGCATATGATCTAGGTATGGACACCTGATTGCGTGTATACACGTACATGAGAGGGGTGTGTGCATAAACATGTGGTGTACGTGAGAGGCGTGTATGTACGTGTCTACGCGTGTGTATACATACTATAGTGAAAGTGGAAGGCGTGCTATGTACATGAGAGGCGTGTACTTACATGAGACGTGTACGTACGTGAGAGGCGTGTTTGTATGTACATGGGAGGCGGGTTCGTACGTACAGAGAGACACGTTTGTACGTAAGAGATGAGAAGCTTGTTTGTATGTACGTGGGAGGCCTATATACGTACCTGGGAGGTGTGTATGGGTGGTGGAGGGTTGGTGTGGGAGGCAGCACTGGCCTGCTGGTTATGGTGGTCAGCCAGAGTCAGGTAGACCCAGTTGAGAAGCTGTGTTGGTGCCGCCCCTCCTGTTAGGGGCCCGCCGCCCCCACTAGCCTCCAACCCGCCCATTATGGAGGAGGCACGCCCACTTTGGAGGCGACATGCCTGCGCGCCCTCATGGGTGGCTCCTAGGTGATGGGCCCGTCACCAGGCCCTTGCTCTGGTACTATGACCCTACTGGTTGGACCCGCTAGGTGAGTAGGGGCACCGGGTCAAGGGCAGTCACTGCTCAAGCATGTGTAGAAATGGGCTGTGCACCACATATACACTTTGCACACGTGTACACGGTGGCACGGGGCATAAGGGCTATGATGAGTACTTATGTGGAGCAGGGAGTCAATGGGCGCCAGGTTTAGACAGCAAGACAGCCAAAGATCCTAGTGGTACGGGAGGGAGTGGAAGCTGTTGATACCAAGGTCACTTCTCCACTGCTGTATCTCAGATGTCCGGGGGCACGGGCATAGGCGAACCATGACCGCGGTTCTTGTTGTGGCGCTCAGGGCGCCCTCCACATACCAACCTCGCCCCATTAATAAGCACCCAGATCATTAGGCGGTCCCACCTGGGCTGGCACTCGGAGAGTTAGTACAAGGTCCTTCTACACACTGAACAGTATCTATAATGACCGGGTCTAGGATGAGCAATCATACCAAGGTTGTTGGGAGTCTTCCTCACACCTCCCCTCATCCAACCTCATGACTCACTACACGCTTTCCGCACATATTCACCTCCCAACTCTCTTCTGGAGTAGTTTAAGCGGTTATATAACACACTAGAACAAGCATAAAATATAATTATGGTGTACTGTAGGTGAAGGGATTACTAAGGTTGTAGTGGTGCAGAGCTGTTATAAAGCTGCTCACTGGCAGACTGGACTCACTCTAGATTGTTATCCTTCCTAGATTCAACTGTCCAGATGTCTAGCTGTCTGGATAGGTCTTAGGCTGGTCTATATAACTAAATGTTAGAATGGCATTAGAATTCATAGACATGTCCTAAGTACTTAGGTGTGTAGGTGGAAGGATGTTACTGGTCTTAGTGGTGCTAGGATGGTCTAGGATGGTTCTAGGGCTGCCTAGGCATGGTCTTAGGATGATGCTAGGCTGGTCTTAGGATGGTGCTAGGCTGGTCTTAGGATGGTGCTAGGCTGGTCTTAGGATGGTGCAGCTGTCCAGGATGGTCTTAGGATGGTGCTAGGATGGTCTTAGGATGTGCTAGGCTGGTCTAAATGGCTTAGGATGGTGCTAGGCTGGTCTTAGGATGGTGCTAGGCTGGTCTTAGGATGGTGCTAGGCTGGTCTTAGGATGGTGCTAGGCTGGTCTTAGGATGGTGCTAGGCTGGTCCTAGGATGGTCTTAGGATGGTGCTAGGATGGTCTTAGGATGGTGCTAGGCTGGTCCTAGGATGGTCTAGATGTGCTAGGCTGGTCTTAGGATGGTGCTAGGCTGGTCTTAGGATGGTGCTAGGCTGGTCTTAGGATGGTGCTAGGCTGGTCTTAGGATGGTGCTAGGCTGGTCCTAGGATGGTCTTAGGATGGTGCTAGGCTGGTCTTAGGATGGTGCTAGGCTGGTCTTAGGATGGTGCTAGGCTGGTCTTAGGATGGTGCTAGGCTGGTCTTAGGATGGTGCTAGGCTGGTCCTAGGATGGTCTTAGGATGGTGCTAGGATGGTCTTAGGATGGTGCTAGGCTGGTCCTAGGATGGTCTTAGGATGGTGCTAGGCTGGTCTTAGGATGGTGCTAGGTGGTCTTAGGATGGTGCTAGGCTGGTCTTAGGATGGTGCTAGGATGGTCTTAGGATGGTGCTAGGCTGGTCTTAGGATGGTGCTAGGCTGGTCCTAGGCTGGTCTTAGGATGGTGCTAGGCTGGTCCTAGGATGGTCTTAGGATGGTGCTAGGCTGGTCTTAGGATGGTGCTAGGCTGGTCTTAGGATGGTGCTAGGCTGGTCTTAGGATGGTGCTAGGCTGGTCTTAGGATGGTGCTAGGCTGGTCCTAGGCTGGTCTAGGATGGTGCTTAGGATGGTGCTAGGCTGGTCTTTAGGATGGTGCTAGGCTGGTCTTAGGATGGTGCTAGGTGGAGTCTAGGCTGGTCTTAGGATGGTGCTAGGTGGTCTAGCTGGTCTTAGGATGGTGCTAGGCTGGTCCTAGGATGGTCTTAGGATGGTGCTAGGCTGGTCTTAGGATGGTGCTAGGCTGGTCTTAGGATGGTGCTAGGCTGGTCTTAGGATGGTGCTAGGCTGGTCTTAGGATGGTGCTAGGCTGGTCTTAGGATGGTGCTAGGCTGGTCTTAGGATGGTGCTAGGATGGTCTTAGGATGGTGCTAGGCTGGTCTTAGGATGGTGCTAGGTTGGTCTTAGGATGGTGCTAGGCTGGTCTTAGGATGGTGCTAGGATGGTCTTAGGATGGTGCTAGGCTGGTCTTAGGATGGTGCTAGGCTGGTCTTCACTGGTGTCACAGCCCCCTCACATTTTATATTAATATTTATTTACGCTGCTGTCTATAATTGACTTGGGATTATTAGTGAATTTGGTTGTACCTTGTAAGTAATTTTATTTAGGTACAGGTACATTAGTACAATAATCATAAGAGTGGATAACACTAGGATAACCAAGAAGTCAGCAGTGTCTTACGTCCATGGTGTACTTTCTGGTGTTTCCTGGGGTGTTTCCTGGGTGTTCCTGGGGTGTTTCCTGGGGTTTCTGGGTGTTCCTGGGGTTTCTGGGGTGTTTCCTGGTGTTTCTAGGGGTGTTTCTGGGGTTTCTGGGTGTTTCTGGGGTGTTTCCTGGGGTGTCTCCTGGTTTCTGGTGTTTCTGGGTTTTTCTGGGTGTTATCTGAGTGTTTCGGGTGTTTTGGGTGTTTCTGGTGTTACCTGGGTTTTGGTGTATTCTGGTGGTTTTTGGTGTTTCCTGGAGTGTTTCTGGGGTGTTTCCTGGGGTGTTTCCCAGGGGTTTCCATGGGTGTTTCCTGGGGTATTTTCCTGGGGTTTCCTGGGGTGTTTCCTGGGATGTTTCCTGGGGTGTTTCCTGGGGTGTTTCCTGGGGTTTCCTGGGGTGTTTCCTGGGGTGTTTCCTAGGATGTTTCCTGGGGTTTCCTGGGGTGTCTCCTGGGGTGTTTCCTGGGGTGTTTTCTGGGGTGTTTCCTGGAGTGTTTCCTGGGGTGTTTTCTGGGGTGTTTCCTGGAGTGTTTCCTGGGGTGTTTCCTGGGATGTTTCCTGAGGTGTTTCCCAGGATGTTTCCTGGGGTGTTTCCTGGGGTGTTTCCTGGGGTGTTTCCTGGGGTGTTTCCTGGGGTTTCCTGGGGGGTTTCCTGGGGGTTTCCTAGGGTGTTTCCTGGGGGTTTCCTGGGGTGTTTCCTGGGGTGTTTCCTGGGGTGTTTCCTGGGGTGTTTCCTGGGGTGTTTTTCCCAGGGTGTTTCCTGGGGTGTTTCCTGGGGTGTTTCCTGGGGTGTTTCCCTGGGTGCTTCTGGGGTGTTTCCCGGGGTTTCCTGGGGTGTTTCCTGGGGTGTTTCCCAGGGTGTTTCCTGGGGTGTTTCCCTGAGTGTTTCCCGGGGTGTTTCCCAGGGTGTTTCCTGGGGTGTTTCCTGGGGTGTTTCCTGGGATGTTTCCTGGGGTGTTTCGCAGGGTGTTTCCTGGGGTGTTTCCCGGAGTGTTTCCTGGGATGTTTCCTGGGATGTTTCCTGGGGTGTTTCCTGGGGTGTTTCCTGGGATGTTTCCTGGGGTGTTTCCTGGGGTGTTTCCCGGGGTGTTTCCTGGGGTGTTTCCTGGGATGTTTCCCAGGGTGTTTCCTGGGGTGTTTCCCAGGGTGTTTCCCGGGGTGTTTCCTGGGATGTTTCCTGGGGTATTTCCTGGGGTGTTTTCTGGGGTGTTTCCCGGGGTGTTTTCTGGGGTGTTTCCTGGGGTGTTTCCGGGGTGTTTCCTGGGGTGTTTCCCAGGGTGTTTCCTGGGGTGTTTCCTGGGGTATTTCCCGGGGTGTTTCCTGGGGTGTTTCCTGGGGTGTTTCCCAGGGTGTTTCCTGGGGTGTTTCCCAGGGTGTTTCCCGGGGTGTTTCCCAGGGTGTTTCCTGGGGTGTTTCCTGGGGTGTTTCCCGGGGTGTTTCCTGTGGTGTTTCCTGGGGTGTTTCCTGGGGTGTTTCCTGGGGTGTTTCCTGGGGTGTTTCCCAGGGTGTTTCCTGGGGTGTTTCCTGGGGTGTTTCCCAGGGTGTTTCCTGGGGTGTTTCCTTACACCTGTTGTCCTGTTCACCTAGCAGCAAATAGGTACCTGGGTGTTAGTCGACTGGTGTGGGTCGCATCCTGGGGGACAAGATTAAGGACCCCAATGGAAATAAGTTAGTCCTCGATGACGCACTGACTTTCTTGGGTTATCCTGGGTGGCTAACCCTCCAGGGTTAAAAATCCGAACGAAATCTTATCTTATCTTATCTTCCCAGGGTGTTTCCCAGGGTGTCTCCTGGGGTGTTTCCCAGTGTGTTTTCTGGGGTATTTCCCGGGGTTTCCTGGGGTGTTTTTCCCAGGGTGTTTCCTGGGGTGCTTCCCATGGTGTTTCCTGGGTAAGATAAGATAAGATAAGATAAGATTTCGTTCGGATTTTTAACCCCGGAGGGTTAGCCACCCAGGATAACCCAAGAAAGTCAGTGCGTCATCGAGGACTGTCTAACTTATTTCCATTGGGGTCCTTAATCTTGTCCCCCAGGATGCGACCCACACCAGTCGACTAACACCCAGGTACCTATTTGCTGCTAGGTGAACAGGACAATAGGTGTAAGGAAACGTGTCGGAATTTCCACCCGCCGGGAATCGAACCCGGGCCCTCCATGTGTGAAGCGGGAGCTTTAGCCACCAGACCACAGGGTGTTTCCTGGGGTGTTTCCCGGGGTTTCCTGGGGTGCTTCCCATGGTGTTTCCTGGGGTGTTTCCCAGGGTAATATATATACACATTAAAGCAAATGTTCCAGCAAATATGATCTGTTACACCTACGTTTATAAGGTTTTTATTGAAGTATTCCCATCAAGGGTGATTCCTTGATGGCAGTGAGGTGCTCTTGATTCTTTAATTGGACCTATCCTACCTCGCTTCCCCTTTGTTGGACCTGGCTTCCCCTTTGTTGGACCTGGCTTCCCCTTTGTTGAACCTGGCTTCCCCTTTGTTGGACCTGGCTTCCCCTTTGTTGGACCTGGCTTCCCCTTTGTTGGACCTGGCTTCCCCTTTGTTGAACCTGGCTTCCCCTTTGTTGGACCTGGCTTCCCCTTTGTTGGACCTGGCTTCCCCTTTGTTGGACCTGGCCTCCCCTTTGTTGGACCTGGCTTCCCCTTTGTTGGACCTGGTTTCCCCTGTTGGACCTGGCCTCCCCTTTGTTGGACCTGGCTTCCCCTTTGTTGGACCTGGCTTCCCCTTTGTTGGACCTGGCTTCCCCTTTGTTGGACCTGGCCTCCCCTTTGTTGGACCTGGCTTCCCCTTTGTTGGACCTGGCTTCCCCTTTGTTGGACCTGGCTTCCCCTTTGTTGGACCTGGCTTCCCCTTTGTTGGACCTGGCTTCCCCTTTGTTGGACCTGGTTTCCCATTTGTTAGACCTGTCCCCCAGGTGCTGTATGATCCCCACAGGTTTAGCTCTTCCTCCCAAATACAATAATGCACTGAGGTCCCTGAGACACCGAGAAATGTATCCCTGTATCTCATAAGCTCAGCTCCCTCTACCTCAGGGCATGCAAAAAATGAATAATCCAGAACGGTGATCAATTTATAATGGCACTGTAGTCATGAGTCAGGCTTAAGCTTGCCTGGAACGCTCTACATAACCATGGGCCTTCTTCATGCACAAACGTCAGCCAGCTTTGTACACTGTATGGTGTGGAAATAATGTCTTTGGAATCTCGGACTGAGATAAAAGAATTGGGTCACAGTGTGTGATGCTGATGCATCACAGGAGTGCTGCTTGTAATATTATTATTATAATCAAGGGGGAAGCACTAAACCCGGAGGATTATACAGCGCCTGGGGGGGATGTGGAAGGCATTCAGGCTTAATTTGGGGAACTGGAGCACAGATCCAATTCCCTAAATCAAGAGCCCCTCACCAACATCAAGGAACCTTCCTTGAGGGGCTGCTTGTAATAGCATTCTACTGTAAGCAGCAGTGGCAGACCTACATTTCTGGGACCATGAAGTTTGAGCTGTTACAAGGCCGCTTCACAACCCCAAATTTTAAGCAATGTGGACTAAAGTCACTTCTAGGGTCCCTCTGGTATAAGGGGCCCTGAAGGTTAAGCTTCATTAGTTTCATAATAGAGCCACCCCTGGTAAGCAGTATAGCTTGAGTGGTCACACCATTAGGCTGCTACTATATTGCCACCCCCACAGTTTGAGTCCCTCTCTATTCTGCTTATTCACTGACAACCGTTATTACAACTATCTTGAGTTTGGACTACATTGAGATGATATTCATAATAATAATAATAATAATAATAGTTATTATTATTATAGGATGAAACGAGATGTTCCATGAAAAATTACTGAGCTGTGGGATGAGACATTTGGAAAACATTTGTTGCCATTATTACAGTTATCACAGAATGTTGGTTGTAAAATTATTCTATTTAATTATTATAATCAAAGTGCTAAACCACAAAGGTCATACAGCACATGGGCAAATGCTTAAGCCTCTGTTAATTGACTGTTATTCATTATGAGTTATTATGGGTTTACCGACCATGTGGCTTTGAGCGGTATGAGAATAGTTGTAGAGTACCGTGAAACTTGTGAGACTGTGGGATAAGACAGTAGGGTCATAGTTGGTGCTGCTGATACTACCACATCACACAAGTGCTGCTTGTAAAATCAATCTATTGTATATCTGGTTGAGTGGTAGTGCTGGTTACTGTACCACTCTGTGTGTATCACAGTTTATGTCTGACCTAGGCCGTTTCCCACCAAGGCAGGGTGACACAAAAAAGGAACACTTTCACCATCATTCACACTATCACTGTCTTCCCAGAGGGGCATATGTATGTCTACATTTGTCTGTGTAAGCACGTTTTTGTGCATTTTATTTATTTATTTACTATTTATTTATTTTTAACACTGGCCATCTGTCAAGGTAAGCTGATCAGAACCAAAGCCAAGTAGTCATTCAATCATTATTGTCTGGCTAACCAGTTTCCTCCTGACTCTCTTCATAAAAGTTAACTTGCTCATACTGCAGCAGCAAGTCCATTAAAAATCACTTGTTTCCTTTCACTCCTATGTAAGATGCTCACACAAGTCTTTCAAACTTGAGAGGCACATGAGTTTTCCTCTCTCCTAATATCATGTTTATTTTTTCCTTATAATCTACCTTGTCTGTAATTATCTCATTTCCTTTGTCTGCTTTTGTAAGGTGAAGTCCAGGATCTTTCCTTAATTTATGGTATAACTTAACAATTGTCCTCAAAGATTTGTTAAGTTATACCATGAATTAAGGAAAGATCCTGGACTTCACCTTACGAAAGTAGACAAAGTAAATGCGATAGTGATTATGGACAAGGTAGATTATAAAGGAAAAATAACATTAGAAAACTGGGGAACTGATGTGCCCCTTAAAGTTTCCTTAACCTATTAAGGACAAGGCAGATTATAGGGGAAAAATAACATAATAGAAAACAGGGGAACTGATGTTCCCTTAACTCACTTCCCTCCAGGAGGTCCTCAGATGACCTCTGCCCCCTCCTACCTTCAACACCAGAATTACAGACCCTGTCAGCCCATCCCCCTCCAGCCTCTATGAGTCCAAACCACCTCAACAACCCCTCCTCACCCTCTGACTTATCCCACACTGCCTTTTAACTTCTACACTCCAAATTCTCAGCATGATATTCACTCCACATATTACACAAATAACCCTCACATAGGGTTATTTGTGCATTGTTCCATTCTTGGTATTGTGACTTTTTATTCTCCATTCCACACATTGCTCACAAGCATGACATCTCCACTGCCTCATGCCTCCTTCTTGCTCCAGTGATACTAGCACAACCTCAATATAAAAATATAAACAACACAGCGACCACAAGGGCATCATGCCACAATTGCTTGGTGTGCTGCCTTGGGTTTAATGGTCAAGTTGGACTGAAACATCATTGTAAGTCTCTGCTATGTGCAGGTTATCTGTGTATAACTCAGCATCTAATTATCAGAATCATAGGCAAGTGGTAATCCCTGTAAATCAGACAGTGGCTGGGGAATGGAAGGTAATCGAGCTTGATTCAAGAAATGGAGGACAGATCAAATTCTTAAGGGTCATAAGCTCTTTCCTGACACAAAGGCACACCCTGTGCATGGTTACCATGGCTAAGATGGTTTTAGCCTGACTTATGAAAAGGCCTTTTGTATATTGTCAGTATATGACAAGAATTGGTACAGGAGCAAGTCTCTTAACAAAAAAATATATAGGTGTTTGTGAAAATCAGGTTAGGCTATCTACTCAGAGCTTATTTACTTTGTTTTAAGTTGACTCCTGCCATTAAAACATAATTTGATTCTAATATTTATTTCTAATTATTCAATTATTATATTCATGGGCAAGCACCATGGTAAATTTGTATGAGTCACACAGCGCCTATAATCAAACTAAGTAGTCAAAACCAAAAAACTTTCTAGGTTACCCATCACTCAAGTATCCATTATGAAGCAGAAAACACAGTACATGGCAGTGGCTTATGGTGTAAAACTCTTTATCCTCACTGGGAAAGGCTTGTATTTTCAATGGGAAAGACGATGTGTGAGTGGGTTAATATAATGGGAAGACATATGAACATTAAACCAAGAAATATATGACTTTTAACTTTTTTAAATTACTGTATTTTATTTTATATTTTATTACCTACAAAATTCAAAGTTAGGTTGCCTAAATTCTACAGCTGTAAACAACAAAATTAATAGTTTTAGATGATAGCCGAAGGTTAATGAAATAAAGGTCGACATGAACATAATTGTACAAGATGGCAAGAATTTATAAGGTAAATAGTGGATAATAATAGCAATTAGGGTAGAATAATTATAAAGAACAGTATTACTGGAAATAAGTCCCTTCCCTTCCTGTCCATTTTTAACCCCTGGACAGATAACAAAAGGACATCAATAGCACCAAAAGTACTGAGAGTGCATCCACTCTGATAATACAATTTATGAAAACTGGTACCAAAAACCTATGTAAAATTGGTCCCAAAATTGCTATATATCTCACAGAATTATTGGCTTTGTTGATTTCTCAAATTGTTGTACCTTGTTAGTAAGACTTATAAAGTCGGAAGGCATTTCACAGCCTGTTTGTTAAGCTCAAACTGTCAGCCAATTGCACTAATTCTAAGGCATTTTTTTTTTGACAGTATTTTTATATTCATGGGGGAAACACTTAAGTCTGTAAGGGAGGTAATCAGCTTTAATCCAAGGAAAGGAAGGGGAGTTCCAACTCCTTGGATTAAGAGCACTTCAACATCTAGGAACCCCATCTAAAGGGTAACAGCATACCTATTTTAACTCCACTGGGAATCCAAAAGATACAGTACTTTAAATACATATTAATAGTATATTGATAATTTTGCACAATAGTACTAATGTAGTACAGTACATGGAAAACATAAATTCATTTTAAATAATTTTAAATAAACATACTAAATAGATTTCTTCCTTCTGCATTACCATAATTGCAGAAATACTTTAGATTTCCAAACTGCGTTTTGAGTTGACAGTTAATTCATCATCAAGGTAACCAAGTTGATGAAGGAATAAACTGCACTACTATAGAAAATCACTTTAAATTATACTATTACATATGTAATTCTAAAATTATTCATCAGAAGAATTCACTGAGAAAGTACACAAAGAATAATGTAATCATTTTCATAAAATTAGACAAAAGCGTGTCTAATCAAACTTAAAATGTTTTTATGAAACACAAAGTATTATCAAAATGGTTTTTGAGCTACGAAAAAGATGCTCTGGTATTCATAGTTGAGCATCGACCGTGCGTTGTGTGTGTACACTGTGCTGTGTCCCATCTCCTCGACCTGCAACAAAATACATTGTCAAGTTAACAAAAAATAACAAGGTACAATATTGTGACAGGAATAATACACAGATAACCTGCACATAAGACACTTATGACAACCTGCTCTTCTCTTGTACATACAGTGGTACCTTGAGTTTTGAACACCTCCCAACTTGAACAATTATGTAAGTGTATTTTTGTAAGTACAGTGGACCCCTGGTTTATGATATTGTTTCACTCCAGAAGTATGTTCAGGTGCCAGTACTGACCGAATTTGTTCCCATAAGGAATATTGTGAATTAGATTAGTCCATTTCAGACCCCCAAACATACACGTACAAACGCACTTACATAAATACACTTACATAATTGGTCGCATTGGGAGCTGATCGTAAACCGGGGGTCCACTGTACTTTTGTAAGCGTATTTTTTGGGGGTCTGAAATAGACTAATCTAATTTACATTATTCCTTATGGGAACAAATTCGTTCTGTATTGGTACTTGAACAGCCTTCTGGAATGAATTAAATTCATAACTCGAGGTACCACTGTATACTGGATCCCTTTCGTTCATGTGTTAGTGTGTTTAGTTAGTGGTCCTAGGGGGTCTATGATGTAGTGTGTTTAGTTAATGGTCCTAGGTGGTCCATGATGTAGTGTGTTTAGTTAATGGTCCTAGGTAGTCCATGATGTAGTGTGTTTAGTTAATGGTCCTAGGTAGTCCATGATGTAGTGTGTTTAGTTAATGGTCCTAAGTGGTCCATGATGTAGTGTGTTTAGTTAATGGTCCTAGGTAGTCCATGATGTAGTGTGTTTAGTTAATGGTCCTAGGTGGTCCATGATGTAGTGTGTTTAGTTAATGGTCCTAGGTGGTCCATGATGTAGTGTGTTTAGTTAATGGTCCTAGGTAGTCCATGATGTAGTGTGTGTTTAGTTAATGGTCCTAGGTAGTCCATGATGTAGTGTGTTTAGTTAATGGTCCTAAGTGGTCCATGATGTAGTGTGTTTAGTTCATGGTCCTAGGTAGTCCATGATGTAGTGTGTTTAGTTAATGGTTCTAGGTGGTCCATGATGGAGTGTGTTTGGTTAATGGTCCTAGGTGGTCCATGATGTAGTTTGTTCAGTTAATGGTCCTAGGTGGTGTGATGGAGTGTGTTTAATGGTCCTAGGTGGTCCATGATGTAGTGTGTTTAGTTAATGGTCCTAGGTGGTGTGATGGAGTGTGTTTAATGGTCCTAGGTGGTCCATGATGTAGTGTGTTTAGTTAATGGTCCTAGGTGGTCCATGATGTAGTGTGTTCAGTTAATGGTCCTAGGTGGTGTGATGGAGTGTGTTTAATGGTCCTAGGTGGTCCATGATGCAGTGTGTTTAGTTAATGGTCCTAGGTGGTCCATGATGTAGTGTGTTCAGTTAATGGTCCTAGGTGGTCCATGATGTAGTGTGTTTAGTTAATGGTCCTAGGTAGTCCATGATGTAGTGTGTTTAGTTAATGGTCCTAGGTGGTCCATGATGTAGTGTGTTTAGTTAATGGTCCTAGGTGGTCCATGATGTAGTGTGTTTAGTTAATGGTCCTAGGTGGTCCATGATGTAGTGTGTTTAATTAATGGTCCTAGGTGGTCCATGATATAGTGTGTTTAGTTAATGGTCCTAGGTGGTCCATGATGTAGTATGTTTAGTTAATGGTCCTAGGTAGTCCATGATGTAGTGTGTTTAGTTAATGGTCCTAAGTGGTCCATGATGTAGTGTGTTTAGTTAATGGTCCTAGGTAGTCCATGATGTAGTGTGTTTAGTTAATGGTCCTAAGTGGTCCATGATGTAGTGTGTTTAGTTATGGTCCTAGGTGGTCCATGATGTAGTGTGTTTAGTTAATGGTCCTAGGTAGTCCATGATGTAGTGTGTTTAGTTAATGGTCCTAGGTGGTCCATGATGTAGTGTGTTTAGTTAATGGTCCTAAGTGGTCCATGATGTAGTGTGTTTAGTTAATGGTCCTAGGTAGTCCATGATGTAGTGTGTTTAGTTAATGGTCCTAGGTAGTCCATGATGTAGTGTGTTTAGTTAATGGTCCTAGGTGGTCCATGATGTAGTGTGTTTAGTTAATGGTCCTAAGTGGTCCAAAACATAAGTTTCTTTCTCCAATGTGTGGGTTATGTGTGTGTTTTCTCATTTTATATATGTAAATTACATAGTGAAAAGCAGTAATGTGTAGTTATCAACAAATTCATCGAATCTGTTAAATGTAGATATTGAAGAATTGAGACACTTATGCAACATGTTGCATAAGTGTCTCAATTCTTCAACTTGTCGGTTTTCAAAACCATTCATCATAAGTGTAAACGTTATTTTCTCCAATGTCTGCACACTTCTGTGAGGTCATGTTAGTGCTAACTCAATAAGGTTACATTTCTCTCCCAGTCTTTACTACTATGATAATTAAAGCTTAAATAGTATTATTATTATAATCAAGGGGGAAGCGCTAAACCCGGAGGACTATACAGCGCCTGGGGGGGGGGGGGATGTGGAAGGCATTCAGGCTTAATTCGGGGAACTGGAGCACAGATCCAATTCCCTAAATCAAGAGCCCCTCACCAACATCAAGGAACCTTCCTTGAGGGGAAAAGCTTAAATAGTATTTTGTATTTCTTCATCTTGATAAAATAATACAGTGGAACCTCAAATTTCGAACGTATCACTTATCGAACTCTTTGAAAATAGAACGCTTTTTTCGAACCAACTTTGTCCCTCTTATCGAACTCGTCCCTGTTTTTGAACCACTGGGTACCGGACCTGTCAGGCAGCCCACTCTGTCTGCATCCCCACGCAGGCGCCGTGAGCCAGTCTGGTTTTGTTGATGCTTGAGTGAACACTAACCTACGCTCTCATTCAAACATTTTACGATTATTTCATTGTGTTTAGTGCTTGTGGGACTGTGAAATAAGCTACAATGGGCCCAAAGAAACTTGCTAGTGGCACCCCTGTGGTAAAGAAAGTGAGAAACACCATAGATGTGAAGAAGGAAATAACACAGAAGTGGAATGATGTCCAAGTGGAATGATGTCCAAATGTTTGTGGAGAAGTATCACCCTGACTAAGCTGAAACAAGCCATCTTTGCAACAAGTTCAGTGACAGAACCATGTCCCATTTTAGGGAAATCTTAAAGAGGCACCAGAAACAGAGGACTGTGGACAGTTATTTTGTAAGACGGGTCCAGTGACTCTCAAGCTGGTCCTAGTGGCATTAAAAGGCAGAGAAGGGAAGTAACCCCAGAGAGGGCTTTGATACCTAAAGTCCTCATGGAGGGGGATTCTCCTTCCAAACACTAACCCCAACTCCCTCTCTTCTCCTCCCTATCTTCCAGATGCCATCACCAGTCTTCAATAAAGGTAAGTAAAATGTTATTTTATATGTTTATTTAAATTTATTAATACATAATTGAACACTATATTTGTTGTGTGTATGTAAAACTATAATTAATCTCTATAAAATGTATTCTTTTGTGAATATTTTTGGGTTTCTGGAACAGATTAATTGTATTTCCATTATTTCTTATGGGAAATATTGCTTCGCTTTTCAGACTTTTCGAATTTAAAACTAGCTCCTGGAACGGATTAAGTTCGATATTTGAGGTTCCACTGTAATGGCTGTGTGAATAAAATATTTTTTTATGCATGCAAAGTGAATATAGGTTAAAAATGAGAATAACTGGCTGTAAGAAATAAAAACAATACAGTTGAACATGCAACAGTTGAGAACGTTTATTGCTGAAATATTTCACCTACACGGTAGACTTCATCAGTCAGATACAGAGGAGAACATATTATAGATAGCAGGAGTAGTGGTAAGGTAAAGATGATGTAACCTAAGAGAAATAGTATGAGGTGGTCAGTCCCTCAGTCTGGAGAAGAGTTCAGCTTCATCGTCTGGAACAATGTGAAACTGAAGCTTGAAAATGGAGTCTTAAATATTGTCAAAAGTGAGGTGGAAGATCTTGAAGACTAATGAAGTCTACCACTAAAGATACCAAACTGTTGCACTTGTGTCTTGATCATCAACTTGTTAGTGTTTTGTACCATTTTCAATGTTATAAGTCAACAGTATAGACAGTATTTATGACTGAAGAATATCAAGTGAAATGTATCATATTTCTAATAACTTAAAAGTGTGTAGGTGTCCAATAAGTTAAGTCAAAATGGTAACTTGGATCATGTCATCAATTTAACACCACAATGAAGCCTCATACAAATTGATACTACAGCCACTAATAAATAAATAACTTCTAACTCAGTAATTACTTCTCTAAACAAAGGAACTTTATTCTATTCACTAATAAATATACAGTGGACCCCCACATAGCGAACTTAATCCGTGCAAGAGGGCTGGTCGTTATGCGAAATGTTCGCTATGCGAATTAATTTTCCCCATAAGAAATAATGGAAATAAAATTAATCCGTGCAAGACACCCAAAAGTATGAAAAAAAAATTTTTTTACCACAAAAAAATGTTAATTTTAGTACACACAAACTGAAAAAGGCATGCACAATTACATGACACTTACTTTTATTGAAGATCTGGTGATGATTGATGGGATGGGAGGAGGGGAGAGAGAGTGTTAGTGTTTAGAAGGGGAATCCCCTTCCATTAGGACTTGAGGTAGCAAGTCCTTTTCTGGGGTTACTTCCCTTCTTCTTTTAATGCCACTAGGACCAGCTTCAGAGTCACTGGACTTCTTTCTGTCCATAGAGCTCTGTACCTCCCGTTCCTTTACGATTTGTCTAAAATGGGCCATAACATTGTCATTGAAATAGTCACCAGCACGCCTTGCAACAGCTGTGTCAGGGTGATTTTCATCCATAAAGGTTTGCAGTTCAACCCACTGTGCACACATTTCCTTAATTTTTGAAGTAGGCACAATGGATTCCACAACTGGCATAGGCTTCTCAGGGTTAGCCCCAAACCCTTCAAAATCTTTCTTAATTTCCATACTAATTCTCACCCTTTTTACCACAGGGTTGGCACTAGAAGCTTTCTTGGGGCCCATGGTCACTTATTTTCAACAAACAGAACCGAAAACACTGTAATAATACGAAATATTCTGAGTGTATGCTTGAATGTTACCGCGGAGGCTAGCTGGTAAACAATGGGACAGGTGGCACATGTGAGGCTGGCTGAGGCCGCACATTGGACGCGTCTCGGACGAAGTTCGCTGAGCGGGTTTTTGTCTACTATGCGGGGCAAAATTTTAGCGATCAAAGCGTTCGCTATGCGGAATGTTCGCTATGCAAGGCGTTCGCTATGCTGGGGTCCACTGTATTATTCAATGAAAGTTTAAAAATTTTGACTCACAGCTGTTAAAACAGCATATTATTTTTTAAATCTTAGCAATTTAAAAATAATTTGGCAACATTATTAAGTTAAGGAATATTGTGGTGATGTGCACACATTATAATACAAAAACGGATACAGTGGACCCTTGGTTATCGGCCAACTCAGTTATTAGCCGTTCCGCTTATTAGCTAACTCGGTTAGCAGCCGTTCCGCTTATCAGCCAACTCGGTTAGCGGCCGGCTTTTCGGCTTCCAGTTATTGGTTGTTATTTCACTTATCGGCCGTACTGGATGCGTCCACCCCCAGCCGCTTGCTCGTTCCTGAGTCAGTGTGGCTGTGTCTCTGGGCGAGTGAGGAAGCTTCTGCTCATCCATCCAAACATTTCACTATAATCCATTGTTTTTGGTGATTATTTATTAAGTACAACTGTGAAATATCGAGTGGAGAGTCAGGTGGAGAGTAAACATTATGTTTTCTCTGATTCAGTGTTAGTGAAAATTGTGAATCTGGCATCTCGCCCAGTAACCGCCCATCATATGCATTTGTTTACAATTCTCGGCATGAATTATTCATTACTTCTCCCTTTGTTTATGATGGCATCTAAAGGCTGCCTTCATGTTGTGAAATTTGCCTACAATAACAACAGCTGTTCTGTACAGTGTGAAATTGTCTTCAGTGAAACAATTTAGCACGAGCGATACAATAATGAAGCTTAAGAGAATACTGCAGCATGTGAAACGATTAAACTCAGTGAACATGGTTAATAATATTTCTGTGTAGTGTGGCCCAGGGTGGGCTACACACATGTACTGTACCTACATCTACCGCTGCCTACACTAACTTTCTACAAATGAATACTACTCACCTCTCGCCCTACATTAAGACTACAAATATTTTAAGGTAAGTAATGAATGTACTCAGTTTTTTGTATGTAAAACTATAGTTAATCTTTAAAAAAGTGTATTTTTTGCTAATATTTTTGGACGTCTGAAACGGATTAATTGGATTTGCATTAATTCTTATGGGAAATATTATTTCGGTTTTAGGCCAACCTTCTGGAATGGATTATGGCCGATAACCGAGGGTCCACTGTATAGAATGAGTAATGGTCACTGACTTTTGTTGGAAATGGCCAAGATCAAAATTTGTTGTCAAGTGGCTAGTTTACTGTGCACCTCTTATCCATTCTGTGAATGGTAGTGCAAGAGCATATACCTTTGAAGAATTTCGAGAGTATATCTACTCTCTGAGCCTGGCCATGGGCCAGGCTCGCCTGGTTAACCAGCCTGTTGTTGCTGGAGGCCTGCTGCCCCACATATCCATCACAGCCTGGATGATCTGGCACCTGGTGAAGATACTTGTCTAGTTTCCTCTTGAAGGCTTCAACACTTGTTCCAGCAATGTTTCTGATATCTTCTGGTAAGATGTTGAAAAGTCTGGGACCCTGGATGTTGATACAGTGTTCCCTTATTGTCCCCACCGCACCCCTGCTCCTCACTGGGTTTATTTTACACTTCCTCCTATATCTCTCACTCCAGTATGTTGTTATGGCAGTGTGCAGATTTGGGACCAAGCCCTCGAGTACCTTCCAGGTATATATTATCATGTACCTCTCTCTCCTCTGCTCCAATGAGTACATGTTCAAGACTTGCAGGCATTCCCAGTAGTTTAGGTGCTTCACTGGCTCAATGTGAGCCATAAACGATCTCTGTATTTGTTCCAGCTCCGATATTTCTCCTGCCCTGAATGGGGCCGTCAGCACCGAGCAATATTCTAAGCGAGGGATCACTAGCGATTTGAAGAGTGTCACAACTGGCATTGTTTCCCTTGTTTTGAAAGTTCTCAATACAATATGGATACACAAGAGACCTAGGAACTAGGCCCAAAAGGGTTCCCAGAAATGACCAATGTGTTAGAAACTTACGGTAATTTTAAAGCCGATGCCCAGGACAATACGTTTCACTTCCTCGTAGCTGGGCTCGATGGACAGCTCGCCAGGCTGGTCAGCAAAGTGGTACAGAAGTGGCCCTAGGTTCACCCAATATCCACCTGAAGAAATATATTATATATCTGTTATATCTATGTGACTCTGATGGGTTAGTATTATACTCTTTCAAGAATATCTTATCTCACATACACTTTTTAAATTACACCAAAGTGGTTGGGCCACTTACCTTTTATATCCTACCTCTCTTCCCCCTCCCACCTTTTTCCAATATTTCTATCCTTACCCATCCTTCTTCCTTACCCATCTTACCAAAGCTCTGGTCATAAGAAGAAGAAATATTTACCCATATCAGACATGTGTGAGTGTGTTAGATAAGAGTGAGTGGAGATGAATGGTTTTTGGGACTTGACAAGCTATTGAAGTGTGAGCAAGGGATTCAGGAAAACTGGCTAGCTGGACTTGAATGCTGGTGGTAGGAAGTACAGTGCCTGCACTCTTAAGGAGGGATTTTTGCAAGACAGTGATAACGTGAATGACGATGAAAGCGTTTGTTTTCGGGTCACTCTACCTTGGTGGGAGACTGCTAGTGTGTTAAAAAAAATACTCAGACTAAATTTATAGTACTGTATTACAGTCATACTAAAATGTTGAACCCAGAAGAACAAAGAGATATGGACATAAATTCGTTAGAAAACATTCAGCGTAGGATGACTAAATTAATACATAGCATTAGAAATCTTCCTTATGAAGAAAGATTGAAGACCTTAAATTACATTCACTTGTGAGACGAAGAATGAGGGGAGACATGATCGAAGTATATAAGTGGAAGATAGGTATTAATAAAGGGGATATTAATAAGGTCTTGAGGATATCTCTCCAAGAGAGAATCCGCAGTAATGGATTTAAATTAGATAAGTTTAGATTTAGAAAAGACATAGGAAAGTATTGGTTTGGAAATAGGGTAGTTGATGAGTGGAACAGTCTACCTAGTTGGGTTATTGAGGCTAGGAATTTGGGTAGTTTAAATTTAGGTTGGATAAGTACATGAGTGGGAGGGGTTGGATTTGAGTGGGACTTGCACATCAGAGCTTATTTCTTGGGTAGCATTGAAAATTGGGTTGGGCAAATGTTTTGTTAGTGGGATGAATTGTAAAGGACCTGCCTAGTATGGGCCAATAGGCCTGCTGCAGTGTTCCTCCTTTCTTATGTTCTTATTCAGGTTTGATCCAAGGAAGGAGTGGGTAGCTCCAGTTCCTTAAGAACCAGAGCCCTTTACCAGCATTAAGGCACCTTTCTAGAAGATATTTATGTGCCTATTAGTTAATTTAAACTTAGTGACTTAAACTTGGTATTAGTTAATTTAAACTTAGTGACTTACACCATTCAAATTCCACTCTCTGCTTTGAAGGTAATTAGAAAACATTTAAATACTACTCTCACCTTTGAAATTACTTACCGGGTTTTAAAATTTTGTATATTGTTTCAATAAAAGCCACAATATTATTTGCACAGTCAATGAAGAAACACGTAGCAACACAATCCCAGACGCCGTCTTCAGTGTAAATCTGGAATATACAAGAAAACTTGAAACAGCTGTATGTGCAACCATCATGCAAAGATCACCCACTGTCATACAACATTCTCATCAGATTTTTCAATCACCCACTGTAATGCAACATTCTCATCAGATTTTTCAATCACCCACTGTAATGCAACATTCTCACCAGATTTTTCAATCACCCACTGTAATGCTTTGAGGGAACTTGAGCTAGAGTTCACCGCAGTCATGGTGTGAGATTCATCTGTAAAAACTAGCATTTGTGGTCACAGTGGTGGCCCATGCTAACTTCCTAATGGTGTACAGAAATATACCTAGTTGGATGAGTCTTATTAGAGCCAACTGACCCAGTTTTTGGACTCACTTGCCATGGGTTCTGATGATCATCAATGGATCTATTAAGAGATAACAGGTTAACTGTTCATACAATTTCTTCATGCAGTCTTACAACACTTGCATCTGCACACAGTTAATATTTTTTGCTTTGTTTATGCTACTTTCCTCAGCCTCCACATTTGCATTCATTCTACAGGTGCTCCTTGACTTGCAATGGGTTATATTGTGACAAACCTGTCCTGTTGAATATGAATACGTATATGCTAAATAAATACGTAAATAAATAACTACTGTTCACTGAGTTAATAAATGAACAAATAATTACTGTAACACAGTAAATATCAGTATTGAAAAGTAAATAAATGAATATAAGTTATGGATTTGCCACCTGCATGCTAGGTAATTATCTTAAGTTTCATCTCCAAAGTAATTGCTTTTGTATCGTTGTAAAGTTGAAATATCGTACACTGAGCCATTGTAAGTCGAGGAGTACCCACATGACCTGAGCCTCACCACTCACTCCTGGGACTAATTGAAATTGTTCTTACCTCTAAAAAATCTCCAGCAGCCATTGTAAATTGTGACCGTGGTGGAAGATCAGACGGGTCCACATCAGGAAAGGTAACTGCACGCAACTGGTCAGAGTTAAGCAGTGTGTTGCTGCCCGAGTGAACCCAAGGGTACACCCGCAAACTGTTCAACCCACGACACCTACAATGTAAATAATTATATTTATTAAGAAGTGCTAAACACATAAGGGTCATACAGTACCTGGGAATGTGAAGTAATCATGTTTGATTCAAAGAAGGGTGTGATAGCTCCACTTTCTTGGATAGAGTCCTTCACTAGCATCAAAGCCAAAGCACTAGAAAAGGCATAGCACTAGAAAAAGCAAGTATACATCGAAGCACAGATCATTAATACAAGTAATATGTGCTTAGATCACTCTGATTAGTCCACCATGTCATACCAAGACTGCACCATGTATCCTAGGCATGACAACATGTGTGGGGTAGCTAGGTTGGGGGTCACCAGGGAACGTGTGGGAGTTAGGTTCGGGGGTCACCAAGGTATGTGAGGGGTAGGTAGGTTGGGGGTCACCAGGGTATGTGTGGTAGGTAGGTTGGGGGTCACAGGGTATGTGTGGGTAGGTAGTTGGGGGTCACCAGGGTATGTGTGGGGTAGGTAGGTTGGGGGTCACCAGGGTATGTGTGGGAGAGTTAGGTTCAGGGGTCACCAAGGTATGTGTGGGGTAGCTAGGTTGGGGGGTCACCAGGGTACATGTGAGAGTTAGGTTCGGGGGTCACCAAGATATGTGTGGGGTAGGTAGGTTGGGTTGTCACCAGGGTATGTGTGGGGTAGGTAGGTTGGGGGTCACCAGGGTATGTGTGGTGTAGGTAGGTTGGGGGTCACCAGGGTATGTGTGGGGTAGGTAGGTTGGGGGTCACCAGGGTATGTGTGGGGTAGGTAGGTTGGGGGTCACCAAGGTATGTGTGGGGTAGGTAGGTTAGGGGGTCACCAAGGTATGTGTGGGGTAGGTAGGTTAGGGGGGTCACCAAGGTATGTGTGGGGTAGGTAGGTTAGGGGGGTCACCAAGGTATGTGTAGGGTAGGTAGGTTGGGGGTCACCAGGGTATGTGTGGGGTAGGTAGGTTGGGGGTCACCAGGGTATGTGTGGGGTAACTAGGTTGGGGGTCACCAACTAATGAATGAGTTGCATTTGTGTCGTTTCAACTCATAAGCAGTTTTTTCGTGTAACCAGGAGCCTATTGTCCCATCGAACACAACAGTTCAATACACAAATAACCCACACATAGGAGAGGGCAGCTTATGACGATGTTTCAGTTTGACTTGGACCATTTACAAAGTCACAATGAAACGTTGTCATAAGCTCCCCTCTCCTATGTGTGGGTTATTTGTGTATTGCCTTTTTGTTATTTAACACAACGGTTATATGTCACACATGTTAATAATTGTATTGAGGATTCACAAAACTATTAATTTTTTATATATTATTTCATATGCAGATGTTTTAACTCAGGTGCTTCAAAGATGAGTCATCCCAACTCATGAAATCATAACAACACGATTACAAACAAACGGAACGGGTGGTGTTTGAACCCACGACGAGCGAGTCCTAAAATTCCAGGCCAGTGCGTGAGCTACTCAGCCAGTTGGCTACATGAGGTTCAATCCCCACTCATTCTGTGATTTGAGCCATCCTCTACTGCTTGCGTATAGAATTTCCTTTCATGCATAACGGCTGATGAACTAACAGTGACTGGTGTAGGGGTTTTCATGTATGGGTGAGGAGGGATATTTGTGTTATCTCAAGTTCATGTTTGTGTGGTTGTTAATGATTTATTCTGTGTAAGACCTGTTTTTGTCTTTATCTATCTCTTGTATTGTATTGTTCTAAATAAAATATAAAAAAAAAAAATACTTGATAAATTACAAAATCAGGTAAGGAAAGAAATGTTTGTGACTAGGATAACATTGTAACTTGTCTTATTCAAACAGTTTCTATCTAGGAGCATTATAGGAAATACCAAACTCACAAGTAAATTGTTTATATTACTAAGCATACCATTAAATATAAAATTACAGTGCAAAGGACAATCAAGTGTCACATATGTTAACATTCACAACACAATTATTATCTCAATATTATGTTTTTTGACTTGGTTCTAAAGTGCAAATCATCATAATCACAACTTTGGTATTTGTAAGGGATCAGGATCTCCCTGTATGTATATGCATGACTCACTCACTTGTTAAGGACGAAGTTTGAGGCGAAGAGCATAAATAGACTGAATTCATTTCCTTGGCAAGCATAGCCTCGTCTTGCAAGTTCATACGCCAAGCGACCGAGCCCAGCGCCAGGCACAAGTATATTGATGTCCTGGGCACACCTGAGTTCAAATAAACAAATACATAAATTCACATTAATGGATAGAGATGTTCCTCTCTTTACGATGGTTCAAATTATGATATTTTTATTTTACGATAGTGTGATAGCAATGTACATTCAACGAGCAGCAAACTTTATTTTTGTACTGTACAGTACTGTACATTTATTGACAGGATAAACTTGCATTCATTTATTTACTTTTCAATGCTGGTATTTAGTTAGTTGCAGTAATTATTTGTTTATTTACTTATTCAGTGACAATAGCTATTCATTTACTTATTTACAATATTTTCAACTTACGATGGGTTCATCGGATGTAACCCCATTGTAAGTCGAGGAACACCTGTACTTATTATATTCTGGAAGGGGGAAGCACTAAACCCATATGGGTCATACAGCCCTGGGGAAATGGGAGGTAATTAGGAATAATGTTAGGAGGCCTTTATCAGCATGAAAGCTTCCTATACTTGAAGGGACATGTATGTATCAATTTCCACTACGTATTTCAAGTATTTTATAAATTTTAGTACAGTGGACCCCTGCTTAACGATCACCTCCCAATGCGACCGATTATGTAAGTGTGTTTGTACGTGTATGTTTGGGGGTCTGAAATGGACTAATCTACTTCACAATATTCCTTATGGGAACAAATTTGGTTAGTACAGTGGACCCCCGCATAACGATCACCTCCGAATGCGACCAATTATGTAAGTGTATTTATGTAAGTGCATTTGTAGGTGTATGTTTGGGGGTCTGAAATGGACTAATCTAATTCACAATATTCCTTATGGGACCAAATTCGTTCAGTAATGGCACCTGAACATACTTCTGGATTGAAATAATATTGTAAGCCGGGGGTCCAATGTACTGCTAGAAACCCAAACCCAATACCTGACACCTGCTTACATTACAAGATCATTTACTTATGTAAAGCTTGAACTTGAAGAAAATATAAAATATACAAACACTTGATCTTGGGGAAAGAGAAGCTCAATCTGATTAATGATTGGCCCATAACACTGGCTTCTCTCATGTTCTCCTGACGATGACCAATCACGTACAATTTGCCTGATGGTTGACTGAACCTTCTCAATGTCAGGGGCCAACAAATTATTTCCAAGCTCATCTTCTGTATTCTGTAAATATAAATACAAATATTAATAGCATTATACAAAACACTGTTACATTTAATTATACTCTTTTAGTTTCACGGTTCATTGTTTCCATTCTATTTTTTTTATAATCGGCTCTTGTCTACCTTTTAATACAATAAGATTACAGTAAACAGGCAATATAATATGCAAAAATAACCACAGTGAAAAATAGTGAAATTCCAAGTGCTTCTGTGATTCCATTTTTTTTTTCACTGGGGTTATTTTGCATCTATCTCTTCATGTTTATTCCCTTCTTTTATATATTGTACACTACATGTTGACGACAACCCTTGTTCTTTACACACTCTTGTACTACACCTCAGTGTATACCACAGAGTCCTGAATGAGTGGGGTTCAAACTCATGGTGAGTGAGTCGTACACTCCAAGCCATGGGTTGAAACCCCACCCATTCTGTGGTTTGTTTGCAATCATGTTATTATGATTTCATTAGTCCTGATTCTGTTACTCTTACTATAAAGTATTAATGATTATTTTACAACATGAGCCATCTCGTACAAAGGAAGCAGTGAGCAAAAGAAGGAATCACATTCACAATCACTTACTCAATAGCTGTCTTGTCAGATATGCAAGGATATCACAGTTCAATTTTTTTTTTTAACATGTCGGCTGTTTCCCACCGAGGCAAGGTGACCCAAGAAGAAAGAAAAACCAAAAAAGAAAGAAAAAACTTTCATCATCATTCAACACTTTTACTATCACTCATACATAATCAGTCTTTGCAGAGGCACTCAGGTACAACAGTTTAGATGTCTCTCCAAACTGCCAATATCCCAAACTCCAAATTACGTTCCAAATTATAACTTTCCCTGATTCTTTCAGAGTGTAGGTACTCTACCTTCCACCTCCTTTTCATATGATTTTTTAAAAAATATGAAATCTTTTCTTTCAACGTACCAGCCGTATCCCACCGAGGTGGGGTGGCCCATAAGGAAAAACGAAAGTTTCTCTCCTTTCAAATTTAGTAATATATACAGGAGAAGGGGTTTCTAGCCCCTTGCTCCTGGCATTTCAGTCGCCTCTTACGACACACATGGCTTACGGAGGAAGAATTCTGTTCCACTTCCCCATGAAATATATTAGAAAACTAAGAAATGTGCTAAAAAGAAATTTCATTGAATATTTCAACAATTCAGAGCAATCTGAAGCATTTTCTGACATAGAAGAATGTGCATGTGGCCAGAGAAATACAAGGTAAGATTTACACACTGCTCAGACCTATGATTAATATTATATTCATGAGGAACCACTAACTCATAAGGGTCATACAGTGCCTGTGAAATGGACAAAAATCAGATATGATCTGAGGAAGGGAAGGATCAGAAAATTCCTTAGATCAAGAGACCTTCAGCATAAAGGCACCTCAATGAAGGGTCTGATCTATGAAATCAATCAGCATCCTTAGTAAGAAAAAGCACATACAGTTACACACATAAACACAAAGTGAAAACTATCAAAAATACAGTGGACCGCCGCTTTACGATCACCTCCCAGTGCGACCAATTATGTAAGTGTATTTATGTAAGTGCGTTTATATGTGTATGTTTAGGGGTCTGAAATGGACTAATCTACTTCACAATATTCCTTATGGGAACAAATTCGTTCAGTACTGGCACCTGAACATACTTCTGGAATGAAATAATATCGTAAACCGGGGGTCCACTGTATAAACCAAGCATACAAATAAGCACAACAAAAAAATATATATACACTACTATCACACAAAGGTAAAATAATCTGTATAAGTGTAAACAACAAAATTCTAATAACAAATTGCCCCTACAATTTTCCTTGAGGTCTGTACAGGTACTGAGTCAGAAGTTTAACTGCTGGTTTCCCCCAGGGTCCAAATTTTTAAGTGCTGTTCTTTATCAAAATTACTATGCCTATCCTAACCAAAATTTTGTCAAGTAAACTGTCACCTTGGTTGGCAGGTATGACTGTTCATATTATAAGTTTAGATATAAGTGCAACCAGGCCCCAATTTACAGCACTTCATTTTACAGCATTTTGCAATGTGTGTACTGTACAGTATATGTATTTTTTGTGTCTAGCTCTATTGTTCACTTAATATATGATAGTGTAAACATTTTATCAGGCTTTCATATGCATCTGAAAATGAAAAAAGACTATTTCACTATAAAGCAATTTTTCACTTCACATCAGTAGCCCAGAATCCAACCTGCTGTATAAGTGAGGTCCTCCTGTGTAGTACACATGCAAAATATAGAAAGATCAGACAATATTTAGAGACACTCACTATTTGCATATTATTGCACATGCTGAACTCTAAACTATTTGCATATATTTACTTATCAACATGTAACACAGAGTCTTGTAAAGAAAGACTTTCCCATCTTTTAATTTTTTGGCCTCTTACTGTCACCAACTACACTGTCTTATTTTACCTAACTTAATCTAAGATCCCAATGGAAATAAGTCACTGACTTTTTTGGTTATTCTGGTGGGTGAGTTACACTATGTATGATAATTGTACTAATGTGTACCTGTGCCTAAATAAACTTACCTAAGAAATTAATTTTTTCATTATGTACATTGTGCACTATTAAAATTTCCTTTCCATACCTAACTTTTAAAGTCGATCCTCAAACAACAAAACACAATACGCATGTAAAGTAAAAGGACACAAGTGCAACTAATGTGAGATTTAATTGTGGCAACGTTTCGCTCTCCAGGAGCTTTATCAAGCCATTACAAACAATACATTGACACAGAGGGTATATAAAGGCTCAGAGTGAGGTGCAATACTAGTGAGGTACCATTTCGATGTTCACTAGTGGTAGTAGTAGTAGTAGTAGTAGTAGTGACAAAAGTAATACAATATGGTACAGCAATTAATTCGTACATGAGTATAAGGATATAAAAGCTATTACTTGGGTAACATAAAAAATAGGTTGGACAAATATACATGTAGACTGGAAAGAGGCAGCTTGTTTCAGTGTTCACTCTCTGTAATGTGCTTTGTGTAGTATAACAGGAGAGACTATGTGATGGCAGGGTTTACTGTTTTCAGGAGGATTCTTGCTAAGACTTCGGAGATGGTGAAGCTGCAGTTGTTTTGTTTAATTGTATTCGAAACAGCGATCAGTGCTGATTCGAGGCACTTGCATCTGCGGAAATTAGTTTCTTTGATCACTATTGTTTGTAATGGCTTGATAAAGCTCCTGGAGAGCGAAACGTTGCCACAATTAAATGTCACATTAGTTGCACTTGTGTCCTTTTACTTTACATATTGTCGGTAATTCTACCAACTTTATTACAATACGCATGAATTATAATTCCCTACCAGAGGGTCATGTTGAACATTCTCAAACATATTTTCCACGTCCTTAATTATTAATTTGATGATCTCTGCATTATGTTCAATGCAGACTCTTTGCTTGTCCAGGTGACTCTTGTAGGACTCCAGAAATGACTGGTGGTGTGGCGGTAAAGTCTTGATGTATCCTTCTTTCTCCGTCACTTTCTTTAAGATCTGGTGCCTGTGGAAAAACACCAAAGAACAAGAGCACATTATTATTATTTTTTTTAACTGTAGTGTGGGCACGCTTCTGGCAAGACAGTGATGGAGTGAATGATAATAAAAGTGTTTCTTCTTTTTTGAGTTGCCCTGCTTTGGTGGGAAACAACTGATGTGTTAATAAAAAATATTATTATTACACAGTATTCATGGGTAGGTGTCTGGGGAATAACGTGTAGAGGTAGGCGTACTCGGGTTTTATGTGAATAAATACAGGGCAGCTCCAATTCCCTGGACCAAAAGCATTTTACTAGTGTCAAGGTGTACCCCTTGATAAGAACATAAGAACATAAGAAAGGAGGAACACTGCAGGAGGCCTGCTGGCCCATACTAGGCAAGTCCTTTACAATTCATCCCACTAACAAAACATTTGCCCAACCCAATTTTCAATGCCACCCAAGAAATAAGCTCTGATGTGAAAGTCCCACTCAAATCCAACCCCTCCCACTCATGTGCTTATCCAACCTAGATTTGAAACTACCCAAAGTCCCAGCCTCAATAACCCAACTAGGTAGACTGTTCCACTCATCAACTACCCTATTTCCAAACCAATACTTTCCTATGTCCTTTCTAAATCTAAACTTATCTAATTTAAATCCATTACTGCGGGTTCTCTCTTGGAGAGACATCCTCAGGACCTTATTAATATCCCCTTTATTAATACCTATCTTCCACTTATACACTTCGATCAGGTCTCCCCTCATTCTTCGTCTAACAAGTGAATGTAACTTAAGAGTCTTCAATCTTTCTTCATAAGGAAGATTTCTAATGCTATGTATTAATTTAGTCATCCTACGCTGAATGTTTTCTAACGAATTTATGTCCATTTTGTAATACGGAGACCAGAACTGAGCTGCATAATCTAGGTGAGGCCTTACTAATGATGTATAAAGCTGCAGTATGACCTCTGGACTTCTGTTGCTTACACTTCTTGATATAAATCCAGTAATCTATTTGCCTTATTACGTACGCTTAGGCATTGCTGTCTTGGTTTAAGGTTGCTGCTCACCATAACACCCAAGTCCTTTTCGCAATCTGTATGGCTAAGTTCTACATCATTTAACTTATAAGTACTAGGGTTATGGGCACTCCCAAGCTTCAGAACCTTGCATTTATCTACATTGAACTGCATCTGCCACTTTTCTGACCAAGAATAGAGTTTGTTTAAATCCTCCTGAAGTTCCATAACATCTATGTTTGAATCAATTATCCTACCTATCTTTGTGTCATCGGTGAATTTGCTCATATCACTAGTAATTCCCTCATCAAGATCATTGATATATATTATAAACAACAACGGGCCCAAGACTGATCCCTGTGGAACGCCACTTGTTACAGATCCCCACTCGGATTTAACCCATTTATGGACACTCTCTGCTTCCTGTCAGTGAGCAATGACTCGATCCACGAGAGCACTTTCCCCCAATGCCATGAGCTGCCACTTTCTTTAACAGTCTATGGTGCGGAACTCTATCAAAAGCCTTACTAAAATCTAAGTAAATAATATCAAATTCTTTATTGTGGTCAACAGCCTCAAAAGCTTTACTGAAGAAAGTTAATAAATTAGTTAGACAAGGGCCGGCCTCTTGTGAATCCATGCTGAGTATCATTAATCAAGCTATGCTTATCGAGATGGCTTCTTATAATCTCAGCTATAAAATGACTCTAGTAATTTGCCTACAATTGAGGTCAGGCTTATTGGGCGGTAATTTGACGGTAACGACTTGTCCCCTGTTTTAAAAATAGGAGTTACATTAGCCATCTTCCACATATCGACACTACACCTGTTTGAAGAGATAAATTAAAAATATTAGTTAATGGTTCACAGAGTTCCATTTTGCATTCCTTAAGAACCTTGAAAAAAACCCCATCAGGGCCCCGGGAGCTTATTTTGCTTCAGTCTGTCTATCTGCTTCACAACCATCTCACTAGTGACTGTGATGTTACATAATTTATCTTCTTCTAGCCCACTGTAAAAAATTAATTACTGGAATATTGTTAGTGTCTTCCTGTGTAAAAACTGAGAGAAAATAATTATTTAAAATCAAGCACATTTCATTCTCTTTGTCAGTAAGGTGCCCATAGTTATTTTTAAGGGGACCTATCTTATCTCTAACTTTTGTTCTATAGATCTGGAAAAAACTTTTTGGGTTAGTTTTAGAATCCCTAGCAACTTTAATTTCATAGTCCCTTTTAGCTTTTCTTATCCCCTTTTTAATGTCCCTCTTAATGTCAATATTACTGATTCATAAGATGACCCTCACCTCTTTTGATACGCCTATAAATTCCTTTCTTATGCCCTAGTAGATATTTGAGCCTATTATTCATCCACTTTGGGTCATTTATATTTGATCTAATTTCTTTATATGGGATAAACGCTCTTTGAGCAGCATGTATAGTGTTCAGAAAACTGTCATATTGATAGCTCTCTTCGTTACCCCAGTCAACAGATGATAAGTGTTCTCTAAGCCCATCGTAATCTGCTAAGCGAAAATCTGGGACTGTTACTGAGTTATCGCTACTATCGTACTTCCATTCAATGCTAAATGTAATTGATTTGTGGTCGCTAGCACCCAGTTCCTCTGAAATTTCTAAATTATTAACAAGGGATTCATTGTTTGCCATAAACTAAGTCAAGCAGGTTATTTCCCCTTGTAGGTTCTGTCACAAACTGCTTCAAAAAACAATCCTGAAATACTTCTAAGAAATCGTATGATTCTAAATTCCCAGTCAAGAAATTCCAATCAACATGACTAAAGTTAAAGTCTCCTAGAATTACTACATTATCGTGCCTTGTGGCCTTAACAATTTCCTCCCATAGTAGTTTCTCTTGGTCCCTATCTAAGTTTGGGGGACGGTATATCACTCCTAAAATCAGTTTTTCATGCCCCTCTGAAAATTCTATCCAAACAGACTCTGTATGTGTTACTTCAGACTTAATACCCGTTTTTATGCAACAGTTCAAGCGATCTCGGACATACAATGCCACCCCACCCCCCTCCCAATACTTCTATCTTCTTGGAACAATTTAAAAACCCTGAATATGACATTCCACAGGCATGTCCCGACTTTTTGAATTAAACCACGTCTCAGTTAAGGCAAATACATCAATGTTACCTACACTAGCAACTAATCTCAACTCGTCCATCTTATTCCTAGCACTACGGCAATTAGCATAATAAACATTGAAAGACTCTCCTTTCTCTTTACCCTTCCTGCTCATTTCTATTTTTCTACTAAACCTATTACTGTCCTTATCACCCAAGGTCCCTGGCTTTTCAATATCTATCTCGTTCTTATTATTACTAGTTCCCCTAGAACTCGTAATATTACTACACTGGAACTTCACTGTTTTCCTGCCAAAACCCATACCACTAACTATTCCTAGTTTAAAGTCCTAACTGCTCCCTCCACTGCAGTTGCCAGTGCTCCCACCCCACACCTAGATAAGTGAACCCCATCCCTGGCATACATGTCACTTCTGCCATAGAAGAGGTCCCAGTTGTCAATGAATGTTACCGCATTTTCCTTACAGTATTTGTCCAGCCAGCAATTGACACCAATTGCCCTGGACAACCATTCACTTCCAACTCCCCTCCTTGGCAAAATACCACATATGAGAGGGTTCCCACCCTTACTTCTAATTATTTCTATTGCTGACAATAATAAGACAATAGCATGACAAGGAAGATTAAAACAGCTTCAGATACACATCTTTTTATGAACTAATGTTAAAAACTCAAACATAACATTATTATTTATGTATCTGATATGTATTGAGAACTTAAATAACAAAAAAAGGCACAATACCATGACTGGAACGATACACAAATAACCCACACATAGAAGAGAGGAGCTTACGACGATGTTTCGGTCCGGGTTGTCTTTCTTCTGCCTTGGGTATCTGTTCCTTCATTATTTATTTACTTATTTTATTCTCCCCCCCCCTCTGTATTCTTGCTCTTACCCTCCGTGGGCACCTAGCTCCCTTACAGTGCTCCTCTTTCTCAGTATTTGACTGGCTCCTCCTCCTCCATACTACCTTCCCTGCTACTACTACTACTACTACCTTCTACCTCCACTACTACCACTACCTCCTCCTGCCTACGTATACTCCCTCCTTCTCTCCTTTTTGTTAGTGAGACTTTGTAAATGGCACAAGTCGGACCGAAACATTGTCGTAAGCTCCTCTCTTCTATGTGCGGGTTATTTCTGTATTGAGAACTTTCCTACAACCTAAGGAAAAGTAAAGCGGCTAAACTAACATGGATGAAACCTACTGCTTAGAATTACAGTATCAGAGCTAGAACACTAGTTAGTGTCGAGGCTCACCATCCCCATGGCCTGGTCCCAGACCAAACCTTCTGGTTGCTGGTTTGACTGACCAGGCTGATGAAATTAAGACACATGTGCAACATCTGGGTATCTTTATTGTAGACGTTTCGCCATCCAGTGGCTTTATCAATACAAATTCTAGGACATAACTTGAAGACAGTAGAACTATGTACAGAAGATGAGGTAATCAGTCCCTCAACCTAGGAGTAGGTGCGAAGAGCACCGTAGTCATGGAGATTCTGAAGCAGAAGAAAGGAGCCTGGCGCTTATATAGTAACGTCAGGTGTAGCAGACGAGGGCATAGTCACTGGTAGGCGGGATTCCCCAGTGGAAATAGGTCCTTCCCAAAGAGATGGGTTAGTTGTAGTAGTAGTTGTCGCTGCCGTGAAGGTTATGCTTCAGAATCTCCACGACTATGGTGCTCTTCGCACCTACTCCTAGGTTGAGGGACTGATTACCTCATCTTCTGTACATAGTTCTACTGTCTTCAAGTTATGTCCTAGAATTTGTATGGATAAAGCCACTGGATGGCGAAACGTCTACAATAAAGATACCCAGATGTTGCACATGTGTCTTAATTTCATCTTGTCGGTATTATATACCATTCTTACACAACTGACCAGACTATTGGTGCTACTGGCATGTACACCAATGTATGTACCACAGGAACATCCACCACCAACACTACCAGGAACATCCACCACCAACACTACCAGGAACATCCACACCAACACTACCAGGAAACATCCACCACCAACACTACCAGGAACATCCACCACCAACACTACAGGAACATCCACCACCAACACTACCAGGAACATCCACCACCAACATACCAGGAACATCCACCACCAACACTACCAGGAACATCCACCACCAACACTACCAGGAACATCCACCACCAACACTACCAGGAACATCCACCACCAACACTACCAGGAACATCCACCACCAACACTACCAGGAAACATCCACCACCAACATACCAGGAACATCCACCACCAACACTACCAGGAACATCCACCACCAACACTACCAGGAACATCCACCACCAACACTACCAGGAACATCCACCACCAACACTACCAGGAACATCCACCACCAACACTACCAGGAACATCCACCACCAACACTACCAGGAACATCCACCACCAACACTACCAGGAACATCCATCAGCACCAAGAACATCCACCACCAACACTACCAGGAACATCACCACCAACACTACCAGGAACATCCATCAGCACCAAGAACATCCACCACCAACACTACCAGGAACATCCACCACCAACACTACCAGGAACATCCACCACCAACACTACCAGGAACATCCACCACCAACACTACCAGGAACATCCACCACCAACACTACCAGGAACATCCATCAGCACCAAGAACATCCACTAACAACACCAGGAACATCCATCAACATCAAGAACATCCACTAACAACACTACCAGGAATATCCACCACTAACACCCTGAGATTTAACCACAACTAATCTACAAAAATTACAATAGTTCTGTATACTTTTCCATGGTTTAACTACATTTTGAAATAATGAATAAAATTCTGTATAGGTTATGAATGTCAACATTAAAATTCTTACCTGTAAGACTTAAATGCTCGAACAATCCGTTGAAAATGTTCTCTCTCCTGGGCGTCTGCATCGTCCATGATCTGAAAAATAAAAATATTAGGAATAACTTCAAACATAATCATTTTACAGTGAGATGTCAAAATTCCTAATGGGTATTAGTAACAATGGTAGAATTACCGACAAAATGTTAGGTAAATGGGCACAGATGGAATTGATGTGACATGTTTGTAATGGCTTAAGAAAGCTCCTGGAGAGTGAAACATTACCACAAAAAAGGTCACATTAGTTGCACCTGTGTCCATTTACCTAATGGGTATTAGTTTAACTTCCAACTAAATTAAACCTCGAGTGGTACTGCTAGGTTTGATGCATCCTATTTCCTGATCAAGAGCCCCTCACTGGCACAAAAGTACCTCCTTCCCTTCAGGAAGCTGGAATAAAAGGAAGGAAGAAAAGATGGTAGGCAGGTGTGTGTAAAAACCCACTAAAGAGTAGGGGGTCATGGGTATAATTAGAGAATACTGTCAACAGCTGTAGCCCAAGATTCTTCAACATACTACTGTACCAGCAGAAATATTGCTATATGGGTATGATGGCTATAAGGGCCTATGCACTGCTAGAACAAACAGCCTGGCTGACCAGGTAGTCAACAGCAAAGCCTGACCTTAAGCCAAGCTGACAGGGGTAGTAGAGACCTTGAAACTATTCCCAGTTAAAGCTTTCACATCCACACCAGGGGCCAGGAGCTGTGATTTAACCCCTGCAATCACAATTAGGCAAATACATTACTCAATATTTATGACCCCTTGCTAAAATCAATGTACGTACAGTAATGGACAAAGGACCTCATTAACAGAATAATGAGCCACGTAATTATGACAATATTTTACAAATGTAAACGAGTATGAACATTTACTATAAAAACAATCTGCAATGAATTGTTTAAGTGTAAAATATATATATATATTTGTTGTTCACTTAGCCAAAATACAGCAAACTGAGAGCATTTCCACACACCAAAATTTCAATATAAGTGTTTATTCAGACTTGTTATCAAATATATTTTTTACAGATGATTATTCCAAAATCAGAAAGGAACTAGTGCGGCAAATTGGAATACAGGAATATAAAAGTGAATAATACACCGTGATATATTAACACAGAACCTTAAAGGAAATACAGCATATACACATGACCCCCAATGAAAATAAATCACACAAGTTTGACTTTTACTGTGTAATCTTAAGTTAAACCTATACAATGTAGTGTATCACTCATGTATGACTACACCTATACAGTACAACAATACAGAGAACCAACAATACAGAGAATCAACAATACAGAGAATCAACAATACAGAGAATCAACAATACAGAGAACCAACAATACAGAGAACCAACAATACAGAGAACCAACAATACAGAGAACCAACAATACAGAGAACCAACAATACAGAGAACCAACAATACAGAGAACCAACAATACAGAGAATCAACAATACAGAGAACCAACAATACAGAGAACCAACAATACAGAGAACCAACAATACAGAGAATCAACAATACAGAGAATCAACAATACAGAGAACCAACAATACAGAGAACCAACAATACAGAGAACCAACAATACAGAGAACCAAACAATACAGAGAACAACAATACAGAGAATCAACAATACGAGAACCAACAATACAGAGAACCAACAATACAGAGAACCAACAATACAGAGAATCAACAATACAGAGAACCAACAATACAGAGAATCAACAATACAGAGAACCAAACAATACAGAGAATCAACATACAGAGACCAACAATACAATGAATCAACAATACAGAGAACCAACAATACAAAGAATCAACAATACAGAGAACCAACAATATAGAGAACCAACAATACAGAGAACCAACAATACAGAGAAGAAACTTCAGTTGACTTCAGTTCATTCTGAACCATTATTAACCACAATTTATAATGGCTCAGGATGTATTGTAGCATTATCTGAAGTTTACTCCCCATATTGTGAACTGTTACAGCATGGTACTGTGACATGTACAATACAGTATTCTTACAATAATATAATAATCATAATTTATTTTCCAAGAAGATACGTATATGCGTGTTACAAAGACTGGTTTACAGTATATGTATTTATTTCTCACATGGGCACGTCCATAGTTATGCAAACTGTCCAGAATGGTGTCTTGTATTTACTACTCTCACAGCTCAACAATATAGTCCATTCATAAAGCACTTTAATAATAATAATAATAATAATAATAATAATAATAATAATAATAATAATAATAATAATAATACTGCTACTACTGCTACTACTACTGCTACTACTACTGCTGCTACTACTGCTACTACTACTATTACTGCTGCTACTACTGCTACTACTACTACTACTACTGCTGCTACTGCTGCTGCTACTACTGCTGCTACTACTGCTGCTACTACTGCTACTACTACTGCTACTACTACTGCTACTACTACTGCTACTACTACTATTACTGCTGCTACTACTGCTACTACTACTACTACTACTGCTGCTACTGCTGCTGCTACTACTGCTGCTACTACTGCTGCTACTTACTGCTGCTACTACTGCTGCTACTACTGCTGCTACTACTGCTGCTACTACTGCTGCTACTACTGCTACTACTACTGCTGCTGCTACTGCTGCTGCTACTACTGCTGCTACTACTGCTGCTACTACTGCTGCTACTACTGCTGCTACTACTGCTACTACTACTGCTACTACTGCTGCTACTACTGCTACTACTACTGCTGCTGCTACTGCTGCTGCTACTACTGCTGCTACTACTGCTGCTACTACTGCTGCTACTACTGCTGCTCTACTGCTATTTGCTACTACGTGCTATACTACTGCTACTACGCTGCTACTACTGCTGCTACTACTGCTGCTACTACTGCTGCTACTACTGCTGCTACTACTGTACTACTACTGCTGCTACTACTACTGCTACTACTACTGCTACTGCTGCTAATACTGCTGCTACTAAGACAATAACAGTGTTGTCATTGTAAATATGGTCATTAAGTTATCTGGGAAACTACTACAGAAGTCATGCAAAATATCAATGACTCGTTGAAGGATGCCACATCTGCCACAATAACTAGTGCGAGGAAGAATCTCTGCCCTGAACAGGTTTAATTTATTTTCAAGAAAATTTGCAAAGGAAGATAATTTATTTATTATTTTATTTATTTATTTTTAATTTGGACATGATACATAGGTGTACAAAGAAATACAGTGGTTAAGTGTAACATGCCAAAAGCCCTTTGTATGCAGAGCATTATGGGCAGGCTTAAAATTAACTTAAGATTAACTAAGCAATGATATATTCAGTGGTAAAAATTATAGTAAACAAATAACAATTAAGCACAATTGAGTATTTCAAAGACAGGTCATATGGTCATTTGCTGAGTTACTGTGCATTCAACAGAATGGTGTATTCTATTAGATAATGTAATTAAAATAAAAAGTTTGATAGGGTCACAGGTTAAACATTTATGAGATACAATTATTAGTATTTATTTAGTTGTGGGTGAGTAAGTGATTTTTAAGAAGAGACTTGAATTTATAAACAGACAGTGCTTCTTTTATATTTACACGTAATGAATTCCAGATTTTTGGGCTTTTTATGTGCGTTGAGTTTTTGCATAGTGTCAGATGGACACGAGGAACATCAAAGTGTGATCTGTGCCTTGTGTTATGGTCATGTGTTCTGTTGAGGTTGGTAAGGAGATGTTTGAAGGGAGGGTTTATATCCGAGTTAAGTGTTCTATGTATGTAGTAGGTACAATAATAAGTGCGGCTGTTTTGTACGGTGAAATTTGTTGTACATGTGTTTGAAATTTGAGTCTATTATCAAGGTGAATTCCTAAGAATTTTCCCTCTGTGAGCTTTGTGATAGATGATCCGTTTATCATTATGTTAAGAGGGACATCTGTAGCTCTGTTTCCAAACTGAATGAAGTAGGTTTTGTCAATGTTGAGAGTAAGTTTGTTAGTCATCATCCAGGTAGATATTTTCTGTAATTCGGTATTTACGGTATTGGCTAGCATGACTGGGCTTGGGCGAGAGAAGACGTATGTAGTGTCATCTGCAAATGGCGTGGATTTGAGTAGTTGCGATGTATTTGGTAGGTCGTTTATGTAAACGAGAAAGAGATGAGGGCCAAGGACACTTCCCTGTGGGACACCAACTGTAATTGGCTGTGGGTTATCCTGGTGGGTAATTTACACACGTCACTAGGTATGATAATTGTACTTATGTATACCTGTACCTATATAAATTTACTTACCCTCCACAATGTTCAGAAAAAAAGGAATTTGAGGAAATTTGAAGAAATTCAAGGTTAAATCATCATAATACTTTTTTTAACACTCTGGCTGTCTCCCAATGAGGCAAGGTGACCCGAAAATGAAAAAACACAGAGGTTTCTTCTTTTTATATTTAGTAATCATCATAGTACTTCACTTTTACATATTTGCCTATGAGTACAGTACAGTACAATGCAGAATGTACTATAAAACAATAATAATTCTAATTACAGTACTTTTAAGAGCTGTAACACCTCTTATACAGTAATATCATGGCCTTGCTTTATTATTATTATTTCTATTATATCTATGGGAAAGTGGTGAATCTGTAGAGGTCATATAATACCTGAAGAATGAGAAGTAATTAGGATTTAAGAGAATTAGAAGGATATTTCTAATTCTCTGGACCAACAGTTCTTCACCAGTATCTGGTGATTAATAAAATAAGAATGTTGAAGGATAAGAAGACAAGAATAATGGAGGACTGCAGCAGGCCTACTGGTCAATGCTAGATCAGTAATCAGTGGCACCATTAAGTAAACCAATAGATCATAATAATGCTAAGTAGTGTACTGAAATAATTACTTGTACATTGGGGGTCTCCATGGAAAGAAGAATTCTTCCTCCATAATCCATGCATGTCATAAGAGGCGACTAAAATGCCGGAGGATGGGACTAGTAATCCCTTCTCCTGTATAATTACTGAATGCAAAAAAAGAAGGAAAACTTTATAAGGTATGTCTTCTTTTTTGGATCACCCTGCCTCTTTGGCAGACAGCCGGTGTATTGAAATAAAAAAAAAATACTGGGTGTCTTGTAGCTCTGCGGTAGAGCAAATAACTCACTAACAGAATGACCCGGATATGAACCCTGGGGTGAGGCATGATGTATAGGTATATTTCCATATACATGCTGCCCATATTCCCTTAGTGACAAATAGGCACCATGCTGTTAACGAACTGTTGTGAGTGTCAGATGATGGTAAGAGGAGCTCAGGACCCCAAGGGAAATACATCACACTGTTTGGCTTTCTTGGATTATCCTGGGCTATTAACTATCTGGGATTAATAAATCAAAGATAATTAATTTTCTTTCTCTATATCAGCTAACACACAGATATATTTAACAAAAACACACACACAAAACCCAGTAGTGCTAAGTTCACTTCAGTCTATATTTCAGAATTTTTACTATTACCACCAACCTTAATTAATAATTATGAGTAAATGCCGATTGTAAAACAATGAACAATAACTTGGAACTGGAGTTATTTAAGTGTTTTTTAAATTCTATTTATAATTTACAAATTACTGTAGCTGAAAATGTTGAGAGTCCTTGCTTAAAGTTAGATGGATGTGATGTACTTTTATGGTTATTCAGGGGGGGAGGTGGGGGGGAGGGTGATTGAAGGGGATGGATGGTTGGAGAGATGGGTGAGTGAGAGAAGGGTGGTTGTGAGGGTATGATGGTTGTGAGGAAGGTGGTTGTGAGTGAATGATGGTGTGAGGGAATGGTGGGGTTTTGAGGGAAGATGGTTTGTGGGGAATGATGGTTGAGGGAATGATGGTTGTGAGGGAATGAGGTTGGGTATGGTTGGAGGGAATGAGGTTGTGAGGGAAGATGTTGTGAGGGAATGATGGTTGTGGGAATGATGGTTGTGAGGAAGATGGTTGTGGGGAATGATGGTTGGGAGGGAAGAAGGTTGGAGGGAATGATGGTTGTGAGGGAATGATTTTGGGGGTTTTTGAGGGAATGATGGGGTTGTGAGGGATGATGGTTGTGAGGGAATGATGGTTGTGAGGGAATGAGGTTGTGTTGGTGAGGGAATGATGGTTGTGAGGGGATGGGGGGGGGGAATGTGGTTGTGAGGGAATGATGGTTTTGAGGGAATGATGGGTTGTGAGGGAATGTGGTTGTGAGGGAATGTGGTTGTGAGGGAATGATGGTTTGGGGATGATGGGTGTGAGGGAATTGGTTGTGAGGGAATGATGGTTGGAGGGATTGATGGTTTGGTGGGGAAGATGTTTGTGAGGGAAAGATGGTTGTGAGGGAATGATGGTTGTGAGGGAATGATGGTTGTGAGGGAATGATGGTTGTGAGGGAATGATGGTTGTGAGGGAATGATGGTTGTGAGGGAATGATGGTTGTGAGGGAATGATGGTTGTGAGGGAATGATGGTTGTGAGGGATGAGGGTTGAGGGAATGATGGTTTGTGAGGAATGAGGTTGTGAGGGGGAAAGTGGTTGTGAGGAATGATTTGGGTTAGGGGAATGGGTGGGTTGTGAGGAATGTTTGGGTTTTTGAGGGATATGGTGGGGAATGAGGGTAAGGAGGGAATGAGGTTGTGAGGGAATGATGGTTGTGAGGGAATGATGGTAAGGAGGGAATGATGGTTGTGAGGGAATGATGGTTGTGAGGGAATGATGGTTGTGAGGGAATGATTTGTAATGGGGAGGGGTGGGTTGTAGGGAATGTGTTGTGGGGATATCTAAATTTTCCTTTTTAAATTTTTTTATTTATTACATACCTTCCTTCCCAAAAACTTTACTCTTCCAACCATCTCCTCTTCCTCCCTCCTTTACACTTACATCTCTCCCTCCCTCACTTTACTCTCAAACCCTCTCTCCCCTCCCTCACTTTACCACTCTCCACTCCTCCCTTTTCTCCTATCTCCCCTCCCCCTCATTACTCTCACCATCTCCTCTCCTCCCTCACTTTACTCTCACCATCTCCTCTCCTCCCTCACTTTACTCTCACCATCTCCTCTTCTCCCTCACTTTACTCTCACCATGTCCTCTCCTCCCTCACTTTACTCTCACCATCTCCTCTCCTCCTCACTTTACTCTCACCATCTCTCCTACCTCACTTCACTCTCACCATCTCTTCTCCCCCTTACTCTCACCATCTCCTCTCCTCCCTCACTTTACTCTCACCATCTCCTCTCCTCCCTCACTTTTTCCCCACCATCTCCTCTCCTCCCTCACTTTACTCTCACCATCTCCTCTCCTCCCTCACTTTACTCTCACCATCTCCTCTCCTCCCTCACTTTACTCTCACCATCTCCTCTCCTCCCTCACTTTACTCTCACCATCTCCTCTCCTCCCTCACTTTTACTTTTCACCCATCTCCTCTCCTCCCTCACTTTACTCTCACCATCTCCTCTCCTCCCTCACTTTACTCTCACCATCTCCTCTCCTCCCTCACTTTACTCTCACCATCTCCTCTCCTCCCTCACTTTACTCTCACCATCTCTCCTCCCTCACTTTACTCTCACCATCTCCTCTCCTCCCTCACTTTACTCTCACCATCTCTCCTCCCTCACTTTACTCTAACCATCTCTCCCCCCTCACTTTACTCTCACCATCTCCTCTCCTCCCTCACTTTACTCTCACCATCTCCTCTCCTCCCTCACTTTACTCTCACCAATCTCCTCTCCTCCCTCACTTCACTCTCACCATCTCCTCTCCTCCCTCACTTTACTCTCACCATCTCCTCTCCTCCCTCACTTTACTCTCACCATCTCCTCTCCTCCTCACTTTACTCTCACCATCTCCTCTCCTCCCTCACACTTTACTCTCACCATCTCCTCTCCTCCCTCACTTTACTCTCACCATCTCCTCTCCTCCCTCACTTTACTCTCACCATCTCCTCTCCTCCCTCACTTTCACTCTCACCATTCTCCTCTCCTCCCTCACTTTACTCTCACCATCTCCTCTCCTCCCTCACTTTACTCTCACCATTCTCTCCTCCCTCACTTTACTCTCACCATCCCCTTTCTTTCACTCTACTCTCACCATCTCCTCTCCTCCCTCACTTTACTCTCACCATACACAAACAACCCGCACATAGAAGAGAGGAGCTTACGACGACGTTTCGGTCTGACTTGGACCATTTACGAAGTCACACTAACCAGAAGTGGAGCAGGACGGCTTATATTAGCAGGATGAGGAGGTGGTGGTGGTGGTGGTGGTGGTGGATAGTATGGGGAACTAAGAGGGAGCCAGTCAATATAAAGACAGGGAGCCTGCACAGAGCGTAGCAAGTCGGTCCGTAACGTCTCGTAAGCTGCTCTCTTCTATGTGTGGTTATTTGTGTATCGTTCCGTCACGGTATTGTGCCTTTTTTTAATTTACTCTCACCATCTCTCCTCCCTCACTTTACTCTCACCATCTCCCTCACTTTACTCTCACCATCTCTCCTCCCTCACTTTACTCTCACCATCACCCCCACTACTTACTCACCATCTCTCTCCCCTCACTTTACTCTCCCCATTCTCCTCCTCACTTTACTTAAACCATTTTCCTACTTTAATATCACCATCTCCTCCCTCACTTTTACTCTCACCATCTCCTCCTCACTTTACTCTCACCAACTCCCCCGCTCACGTTACTCTCACCTTCCTCCTCCTACTTTTACTCTCACCTATCTCCCTCACTTTATCTCCATCTCCTCCCTCATTTACTCTCACCATCTCCTCCTCACTTTACTCTCACCATCTCCTCCTCCTTTACTCTCACCATTCCTCCCTCACTTTACTCTCACCATCTCCTCCCTCACTTTACTCTCACCATTCTCCTCCCTCACTTTACTCTCACCATCTCCCTCACTTTACTCTCACCATCTCTCCTCCCTCACTTTACTCTCACCATCTCCCTCACTTTACTCTCACCATCTCCTCCCTCACTTTACTCTCACCATCTCCTCCCTCACTTTACTTTCACCATCTCCTCCCTCACTTTACTCTCACCATCTCCTCCCTCACTTTACTCTCACCATCTCCTCCCTCACTTTACTCTCACCATCTACGTGTATAATATTAACATTATAGATACCTTCTTTGTTGTTGTTGAGGATGTTAAGGTTCCTCACGGCTCAAGGCTACACTCACAGCTCAAATATACAATACAATACAATACAATTACATACATTTCAATACAATTCAGTACAACACAATACAATTTATTTCTTTCTGGAGGTATATAAAATGTAGTTTACATTTAATAAAATATTAAGCGCAAAAGAAAGCCACTAGTATACAATAATTACTAGCCACAACTATACACTAGCCACTAGCATGCACAAGCCACTAGTATACACTAGCCACTAGCATACACTAGCCACTAGTATACACTAGCCACTAGTATACACTAGCCACTAGTATACACTAGCCACTAGCATACACTAGCCACTAGTATACACTAGCCATTGGGATACACTAGCCACTAGCAGACACTAGTCACTAGGATACGCTAGTGGCTAGCATACACTAGTCACTATACACTAGCCACCAGCATACACTAGCCACTACATACACTAGTCACTAGGATACACTAGCCTCTAGCATACACTAGTCACTCGGATACATTAGTTACTAGCATACATTAGGCACTCGGATACATTAGTCACTAGCATACACTAGCCTCTAGCATACACTAGTCACTCGGATACATTAATCACTAGCATACACTAGGTACTCAGATACACTAGTCACTAGCATACACTAGGTACTCATACGGTAGCCACTAGCATACACTAACTACTAGCATACACTAACCACTATCATACACTAACCACTATCATACACTAACCACTAGCATGCACTAACCACTATCATACACTAACCACTATCATACACTAGCCACTAGCACACACTAGCCACTAGCATTCACTAACCACTAGCATACACTAACCACTAGCATTCACTAACCACTAGCATATACTAGCCACTAGCATACACTAACCACTAGCTTACACTAGCCACTATCATACACTAGTCACTAGCATACACTAACCACTAGCATACACTAGCCACTAGCATACACTAACCACTAGCATACACTAACCTCTAGCATACACTAACCACTATCATACACTAACCACTATCATACACTAACCACTAGCATGCACTAACCACTATCATACACTAACCACTATCATACACTAGCCAATAGCATACACTAGCCACTAGCATTCACTAACCACTAGCATACACTAACCACTAGCATACACTAACCACTAGCATATACTAGCCACTAGCATACACTAACCACTAGCTTACACTAGCCACTATCATACACTAGTCACTAGCATACACTAACCACTAGCATACACTAGCCACTAGCATACACTAGCCACTAGCATACACTAACCACTAGCATATCCTAGCCACTAGCATACACTAACCACTAGCATACACTAGCCACTAGCATACACTAACCACTAACATATTAGCCACTAGCATACACTAACCACTAGCATACACTAGCCACTAGCATATACTGACCACTAGCATACACTAACCACTAGCATACACTAACCACTAGCTTACACTAGCCACTATCATACACTAGTCACTAGCATACACTAACCACTAGCATACACTAGCCACTAGCATACACTAACCACTAGCATACACTAACCACTAGCATACACTAGCCACTAGCATACGCCAACCACTACCATACACTAGCCACTAGCATACACTAACCACTAGCTTACACTAGCCACTCTCATGCACTAGTCACTGGCATACACTAACCACAAGCATACACTAGCCACTAGCATACACTAACCACTAGCATATACTAGCCACTAGCATACACTAACCACTAGCATACACTAACCACTAGCATGCACTAGCCACTAGCATACACTAACCACTACCATACACTAGCCACTAGCATACACTAACCACTAGCTTACACTAGCCACTATCACACTAGCACTAGCATACACTAACCACTAGCATACACTACCACTAGACTTACACTAACCACTAGCATATACCTAAGCCACTAGCATACACTAACCACTAGCATACACTAGCCACTAGCATACACTAACCATTAGCTTACACTAGCCACTAGCATACACTAACCACTACCATACACTAGCCACTAGCATACACTAACCATTAGCTTACACTAGCCACTATCACACTAGTCACTAGAATACACTAACCACTAGCATACACTAGCCACTAGCATACACTAACCACTAGCATATACTAGCCACTAGCATACACTAACCACTAGCATACACTGACCACTAGCATACACTGACCACTAGCATACACTAACCACTAGCATACACTAGCCACTAGCACACACTAACCACTAGTATATACCAGCCACTAGCATACACTAACCATTAGCATACACTAACCACTAGCATACACTAGCCACTAGCATACACTGACCACTAGCATACACTAACCACTAGCATACACTAGCCACTAGCATACACTAACCACTAGCATACACTAACCACTAGCATACACCAGCCACTATTATACACTAACCACTAGCATATATTAGCCACTAGCATACACTAACCACTAGCATATACTAGCCACTAGCATACACTAACCACTAGCATACACTAACCACTAGCATACACTAGCCACTATCATACACTAACCACTAGCATACACTAGCCACTAGCATACACTGACACCTTTGCATACACCCAACCAACTATCATACACTAACCACTATCATACACTAACCACTAACATATACTAGCCAACTAGCATACACTAGCCACTAACATATACTAGCAACTAGCATACACTAGCCACTAACATATACTAGCCACTAGCATGCACTAACCACTAGCATATACTAGCCACTAGCATACAATAATCTGAAGGCTCATGGGATACATGGTATCTTAGTCTTTGCAGTAAGTGTTGCAGAAATTTGCTTAGAAATGAAAAAAGAAATAATGTTACATTCTTAAATATATGAAAGAACCATTTATTTAAATTACTTTTTTTAATAAGTTTATTTATCCACAGGTACACTTATCACACAGTGTAAATTATCTAGGATAACCCAACACAAGGCAAATTATCACACTTTAAATTGCCTAGGATAACTCAAAAAAGACAAATGATTATACATAGTGTATGTATACACAGTGTAAATTACCTAGGATCACCCCCAATGTAATTATATAGTATAGTGTAAATTACCTAGGATAACCCCTAAAATAATTATAGCGTAAATTACCAAGGATAACCCCCAAAAAGCTGTATAGCCCTTGTGGTTTAGCGCTTCTTTTTGATTATAATAATAATAGCCCCCAAAACAATTATAGTGTAAATTACCTAGGATCACCCCCAAAGTAATTATATAGTATAGTGTAAATTACCTAGGATCACCCCCAAAGTAATTATATAGTATAGTGTAAATTACCTAGGATCACCAACAAAATAATTATAGTGTAAATTACCTAGGATAACCCAAAACAAGACAAGGTGATTTATTTCCACTGGAATCCTCAAATATTATTATATATATTTTTAATTTTAGTACTAGTTATTTGTCTGTAACTAATTTACAATAAGTAATTTGCTGTAAATGTCAATGATAATTGAGTTTAACTGTATCAAACAGTTGTGTAATACAAGACCCTAATGATTTAGATTAGATTTTTTGTAAATCACTGAGTCTGACTTTTTTGATTGAGTTTATCCTGGGTAATTTACATATATATAACAAAGACCATTGTAATAATCAACTAAAATTATTATACCTAAGAGCTAAACCCACAAGGGTTAATAAACTTACTAAGATTAAGATTATTTCAGAATGATATAATTTATTGGCTTTGTGGTGAACAATATTTTACTACATGTAAACTATACTGTACTTTGTATACTACGCAATTTTTTTTTATTTTGAATTTGAATATTAGCATCCGACCCTACCAGAGCAAGTGACCGGCTGCTCACAAAACCGAAATAAATTTAGAGGGAAAAAATGGAGGCGATTTCAGTTTAAGTTTTGAAGTTCTCAGCCAAGTTTATGTCTCCTGAAGAAGAAGAAGAAGAAGAAGAAGAAGGAGGAGGAGAAGGAGAAGAAGAAGAAGGGGGAGAAGAGTTTAAGACTGAGCAATGTACCATCAGTACCAGCCTCCAGAGAGCTCAAGAGTAAGATATACCAGTGATGCTGAAGCTAAAGTCAATTTGAATTTTTTTGGTTATCCTGGTTAATTAACGTTATATATAGTGAATGTGACCTGACCTGACCTGACTAGGTTGGGGCATTGGCTTAAGCCGGTAGGAGACTTGGACTTGCCTCGTATGGGCCAGTAGGCCTGCTGCAGTGTTCCTTCTTTCTTACGTTCTTATATAATATTTGTACTGATGTGTACCTGTGCCTAAATAAACTTATATATTACCATGGGTCAAGGAAAAGCTAAGTTCCTTTCTTACCTTGCTATAAATACTATTTCAGAGTTTATATATTTTACCTACTGAAGTTATAGTGTTGTCACTTGTGTTGTCACCTCTTGTGTTGTGTTAGTAAGTTGATTTAGGTACAGGTGAACATATAAGTACAATAATGTGTATATTTCCCACCAGGATAACCACAAAATGTTAGACAAAGTGACTTATTTCCATTGTTGTCACTTTTTGTGTTATGTTTTCACCTCTTGTGTTGTGTGTTACCTCTTGTGTTGTGTTGTTACCTCTTGTGTTGTGTTGTCACCTCTTGTGTTGTGTTGTTACCCTCTTGTTTGTGTTGTTACCTCTTGTGTTGTGTTGTTACCTCTTGTGTTGTGTTGTTACCTCTTGTGTTGTGTTGTCACCTCTTGTGTTGTGCTGTCACCTCTTGTGTTGTGTTGTTACCTCTTGTGTTGTGCTGTCACCTCTTGTGTTGTGTTGTTACCTCTTGTGTTGTGTTGTCACCTCTTGTGTTGTGTTGTTACCTCTTGTGTTGTGTTGTTACCTCTTGTGTTGTGTTGTTACCTCTTGTGTTGTGCTGTCACCTCTTGTGTTGTGCTGTCACCTCTTGTGTTGTGTTGTTACCTCTTGTGTTGTGTTGTCACCTCTTGTGTTGTGTTGTTACCTCTTGTGTTGTGTTGTCACCTCTTGTGTTGTGTTGTTACC